CACGTGTGTGGTTTTTTCCCTGGTATTTTACATAGAACCTCAATAAGTACTTATTGAAAGAAAGAATAGATGAATAACATGTAATATTTTGTTGTATTAAGATACATGTGGCTTGCCCTGGCCAGTTTGGCTCAGTGGTTGAGCATCGGTCTGTGGACCAGAGAGTCCAGGGTTTGGTTCCCGCTAGAGGCACATACCCAAAAAAAAGATGCATGTGACTTGATATGAAGAACTTAAATTGTATTTTGAGAACTGTTGAATGATTTATCCAGCCACCTTAAATAGTTTTTAAAAGAGGTTATTACTGAGTATTAGCTATTTAGAAAATATGCAGTCAGGTAAAGTAGAATTCTGTCAAAGTAAGTATTTGTAAAATACTTGGAAATGCCTAAGCTGAAAATTTTGTATATTAATCTTTCTAATTCCTACCTGACAGCGTTCTAATTAAACTGATAAAAGTTATTGAATGACTGATTTGTGAAAAGTATTTTTATTACAATTAAATTTAGAAATTATCTCTAAATTTGAGTTTGAGTTTTAGTCTGGATCTTAACTTATTTAATCCTGATAATTTCCTCTCTGTAAGCTGTTATTTGTATGTTTAGCCTTATTTTTGTTATATCCTCAAGTGTATTAGTAGAAAAAAGTAATAAAACTATCTTTTCTTAATAGTCATAATATATTTCTGCTACCTGGTATTGTATTCTGTAAATGAAAACCAGAGTCTTCTGTTGTCTCATCAGAAGTCTGTGATCTACTCTATAACAATGATTAATAAAAGATTAACTGGCTATCTAAGGTACCTAATGCATAGTAGTTACTTCCCGTGTTCAAAAAGAAAACATTCCGAGCCGACACACTTGCATTTGGATGGGCGCAGGACATCTGAATCACCCAGATGTTTTTGTTTTAAACCACTGAGGAAAATGGTGTAGACTAGACCCACTGGATAACACCGGTGACATTTACTTGCTTTTCCTGTGGGATTTTTTTCTTTGTCTTTTTTGCCTTTATTTCTTAGCTTATTCTCATTTAGTTCTTTAACTCTGTGATTTAGTACATGTACATTCTTGGCCTCAGGAAAATGTTAGGATGTTTTTTGTCTTTGAAGAATTTTCCCTTTGTTTTGTGTTAGTGGTAGGATGGTGTTTCAGTGGATATCCTGTGCAGACGGATTGTGCGGGAAGTTGACCCTTAGTTCTCTGAGAACAAAAGATTAAGTAGGAAAAAAGAAGAAAGGAAGGAAATAAGATCTTTTGACTTGACCAAAAAAGTCATAAAGCCAGAGATGGGGAGAAGGGGAGCAGGGAATAAAAGGATTGTTTGCCATCATGGTTCTTTAGTACTTTGGCCACAAAAATTACTTTTATTCTGTATTTATTATTTTGTATATTTGAGAAATGTACAGTACTGTTTAGTCTGAATACAGGGTGGACATGGAAAATAATACAATAATTAATCAATAATACGAGAGTAAACTTTCTCCATACTCATGCCTGTAAACCTATTTTTCCCCTACCCCGTATATCTTTTAAGTTTACGTAAAATTGTGCCATCGGTCTCATTCTTTTCTCCTTTTGTCAAATTACATGATTTTAAGAAGCTGACTTGCCTTGAACAATCCTCCTTTGTGCTTGATGACATTTCTTTTCAGTACATATAAAGTACATGTCATAGACATGTCTTGCTCATTGACAGTCTACCACTCTACTGTCATTGGTACAGAATTCCTGCTCATCCAATTTGAATGCTTTCTTTTCTATGAAACCTTTTCTGACTTCAGAGATTTGTTTTCTATTCGGATCTCAGAGCATCTTTTTTGAGAGCCTCTTACATACATGCTATTCTGGATACTTGGAATTTATCAGTGAACCAAGCAGACATAAACCCCTGTCCTCATAAAACTGATATGCTAGTTGGGGGAGTTAGATTAATGCACATGAATATAATAATATATAAATTATATATTTAGTGGTAATAAGAACTGTGGAGAGAAATAAGTTGGGATGGGGGACATGGGAGTGTTGTCAGGAATAGATGTATTTTAAAATAAGACAGTCAAAGAATGCTGCACCGAGAGGGTAACATTTGAGTGAAGTGTCATGTGGCTATCTTGGGGAAGAATGGTTTAGGAAGAAAGTAAGGCAGTACAAAGGTCCTGAGGCAGGAGTGTGCCTGTCTTGTTCAAGGAAGGCCAGTGGCCAGAATGAGGTAAATTGGGGGAGGAGGAGTAGGAAGATGAATTGGGTAAGACACATTGCAGGCCCTAGTTAGGACTTTGGTTTTTACTATAAGATATAGGGAGCCATCTAAGAGTATCGAGCAGAGGATTAACACAATCTGATTTATGCTTGAAAAACTGGCTGGTATATTGAGAATAGACAGTAGGGAGCAAGGATAGAAGCATGGAGACCAGCCCTGGCCAGTTTGGCTCAGCGGTTAGAGCATCGGCCTGCGGTCAGGAGAGACCCGGGTTCGGTTCCCGCTAAGGGCATGTACCTCGGTTGCAGTTTGTCCCTGGCCCTGGTTGGTCGTGCGGGTGGCAGCCACTCGATGTGTCCCTTTCACATCGATGTTCCTCTCTCTCTCCCTCTTCCTCTCTCTGCCTCCCACTCTATCTGTGCAAAAAATGGAAAAATATCCTCGGGTGAGGATAAAAAAAAAAAAAAAGAAGCATGGAGACCAGTTAGAAGTCTAGTGAAATAATCTAGGTGAGAGATGATGGTGGTGACAAGGTGGTAGTAGTGGAGGGGGTGAGAAATGAAAAAGTTCTGAATATAATTTTGTGGTTAGTGCCAGTAGAATTTCCTGATGGATTGGATGTGATATGTAAATGATTCCAAGGTTTTTTGCACCCCCCCCCCAGCTCTATTGATATAGTTGACATACAAGATTATGTAAGTTTAAGGTTTACAGTGTGTTGATTTGATACACTTATATATTGTGAGATGATTACCACCATAGCCTTAGCTAATACATATATCACGTCAGAATTACCATTTCTTTTTTTGAGGTGAGAGAACATTTAAGATCTACTCTCAGTAACTTTCAAGTATATAGTACAGTATTATTAACTATAATTACTATGCTATATAGTAGATCCTCAGAACTTATTCATCTTATAGTGAGAAGTTTGTACTCAAACTTTCAAGGTTTTTGTCCTGAGCAACTAAAAGGATGAAATTGCCCTTCACTGAGATGGAAAATTCTATGGGAGAAGCAGATTTGGGGGAAGGAATAGAGAGTAGTTTTTTTTTTTTTTTTTAAAGCTCAAATAATGGTCTGTAATCTTTATATTCTGAAGCTCAGCCTGATGCGCTAGTTCACTAACAGATAGATGTTAAAATTATTAGTTTTATGAACTTTAAATGTTAATATACTGGGGTTCACAAACTAAGGTATAAATCTATGGCATTTGCTGTTTTTGAGTTCGTTTAAGAGTTAGTTTTAAGTTGATTCTGCTTGATTCCTGTTTCTAACTTGGTCATTGATAATACAAAAGTTAAGTTACCCTTGATTTTCATTCCTCTTAAAATGTCAAACAATGGGATCTCTACTTAAAAAGAAGAAAATGTACTCGAATTGTTTGATAATCATTAAACAGAGTCATAGTCACAAAACATAACGTGTTACCACCATCACTGGCAAGAAATATCAGTGTGGATCATGTTATGTCTGGTATAGAACCTAATAAATGCTGTGCATGTTCTCTGTGCTTCCGTTGGCAATTCTTTTCATGTTAATAAAGGGTTGGCATTTCATAGCCCAGTGGGAATTCTGTTAGAGTAGATAATTTTTCATTAGAATAAAGAAAAACATAGTATTTGTGGCCAGAAAGGATGTTTCATGTAATGTTTTGTTGGTTTTATAATCTTAATTGGTTATTTTGTATATGATACAGCTGTTCCCATTCACTGTGACTCTGCCTTGAAACAAGGAGCGACACATCTGTTTCATATTAACTTGTCAGGCCATCTGGACATAGCTTTAGGTTTGTCATAATCTTAATGTAAAGTAAAATTTAATTAGCTGTGGGATTTTAAAGATACATTCCTTTTCAGAAGAAAAAGAATATGATGAAGTGAAATAGATTTAAAACTGTTAGAATTACAGATCCAACTTACAACAGGACTTTCTATCTATTTCATGTATAGACAGTTATGAAGCCATTTTTAAAACATTGATTATTGCTATTTTGAGATTTAAATACATGTCATTGTTTCCTGTCACTTACATTCTTGTGTAATTTGGTTATTTATTCAGTCAACAGTTATTGAACACATGTAATTCGCCCTGGCCGGTTTGGCTCAGCGGTTAGAGCGTCAGCCTGCGGTCTGGAGAGACCTGGGTTTGGTTCCCGCTAAGGGCATGTACCTCGGTTGCAGTTTGTCCCCGGCCCTGGTTGGTCGTGCGGGTGGCAGCCACTCGATGTGTCCCTTTCACATTGATGTTTCTCTCTCTGTCTCTTCCTCTCTCACCTTCCCACTCTATCTGAACAAAAAAAAAAAGAACACATGTAATTCCTTGCTAGAAAAAAAGATACCATTCTTATGCCAAAGAGCACATTGTGAAGTTTGGGAAGCAACCATGAATTGAGGCTATTGTAAAGATAAAGATAAAGATAAAGATAGAGGGTATTAATGCAGCAATGTTTTTTGGTTTTTTTTTTTGAGAGCAACAGGAGGAGCATGTGAGGCCTCCTAGGAGAGTTGTACAGCAGCTGGGTTATGAAGTGAGAAGTCAGCCAGTCCAGGGAAGGGTGAGAGGAGACCATGTTGCAGGTAGACTGGACAGTGTGAACAAAGGCAGAGAGGCAGGAGGCAGCACCATGGTGTATATTAACATTTACAATTTGAGATGTGGAGTGGGGAGAAGTGAAGCCCGAGGAATACGTAGAGCCCTGATCTTAAAGCCCTTGGAGGCCATATTAAAGAGGTTTTAGCTTGACGGTAAACTACTGAAGCATCTTAGTGACATGGTCACATTTTTGTTTTAAATAGATCACTTTGCCAGCTCTGTGGAGGATGGATTTGAGGGAGACCAGACTGGAGGCGGTAGTCCAGGTGAGAGACAATGGGGATCTGAGCTAAGGCCTTGCTGTAGAGATGCACAGGAGGGAATGGATTTGAAAAGTAGTAAAACCACAGATTAGAAGTTTTTTCTCCTCCAAATATGATAAAAGCCAATTTTAAATTGAAAATGAGTGGAGCGACCTAATAGAAAGTGTTGTTTTATGGCACAGGCAGATAGTAGTACATAGCAGCTAAAAACAATTTCCGTTATTAAGGAAATTGACCTGGGCTGTGAGAAGATGGTATAGGGATCACCTGTTTGTGTAGTAGGACTAAACTTAGCAACCATCAAGCCTTGAGGAAGAAAACAGGTCTTACAAGGCTTCTACCATTACACGTGATAGCAACTCAATAGATCTCCATTATTGGTGATATTTTCTAGAGCCTTCAATTTAGTTATTGATATTTTACAAAAATGTACCACCTGGGAAAGGAAAGTAAGGTAGAATTTTTTTCCATTAAAACAACAGTTGCAAGCTATTATAGACAGTGTTGCATGGTAACACAAGGGCAATTTGGAGGGGTGAGAATATTTTGTATTAAACCAAAACATTTTTCTTGTTTAACAGGTAATTTTAGAATTTATTTTTTCTAGAAGCACTATTTTTACATGTAAATAGAAGGTCTGGATTTATACAATATGTACATATTTCTTAAAATCTGCACATCTTTTTGACATTTTGTTTTATATGGAGAGAGTAAGGGGAGGAGGATAGTTTGGTGGGTCTTAAAAAACATAACTGTTCCCTCTTAAAACTACCACCACCACCACAAAATATCCTGTATTTTTATAAAATGAATTGTCAATTCCTTTTGAGGTTTCTCTCTTTTATTTTGAAAAAACTGTGCTTTTCCTATTAATTTCTGATTTTGGTGAATGCATATAAATCGTGGTTAAATGTGTTCTTTTCATTTTGTGTTTTCTCTATCTTTTTATATTTTCAACAACTGTTCTTATGTTTAGGAGACAGTGCCATTTGCTTATTCTTCATTGTTCCACAACTATATAGTTGATGTTAGTCCCTGGAGCCGTCTGTTCATGCCAGCAGCTAAAATACTGCGAATGTACTGAATTCAAATGAATTTCGAACTGTTGAACTTACTGTGAATTTCTTTCTCTTCCTCTGTCTTTCAGAAGCCTTGCACCGCCCCTATGGTTGTGATGTTGAACCCCAGGCACTGAACGAGGCCATCAGGTGGAGTTCCAAAGAGAACTTGCTGGGAGCCACTGAGAGTGATCCTAATCTCTTTGTTGCACTTTATGATTTTGTGGCAAGTGGTGATAACACACTCAGCATCACTAAAGGTGAGCTTCTGAGTAACATCTTCTCACTTTTCAGTTTTCACTAGTGGTTAGGAAGTAAAGGTGTCTTTTCTAGGTTCTGCCTCTAAAATTAGCTAGGTGATCTGGATCCAGATACTTTTGGTTCATAATTATCTGTTTTTTTAAATCCTCAACTGAGGATATGTTTTTCATTGATTCTAGAGAGAAAGGGAGAGCAGGAGAGAGAGAGAGAGAAACATTCATCAGTTGCCTCATGCACAAACCCCGACCAGGGATCAAACCTGCAACCTGGGTATGTGGCCTGACTGGGAATCAAACCCATTACCCCTCAGTGCATGGGATGATGCTCTAACCACACTGGCCAGGGCGTAATTGTCTCTTTAAAAACCTGTATATGGGGTAATGCCACTTTGTCTACTTTATAGGTTTATTAAGGTTAAAATGAGATAACATACTTTAGGAAAAACACCACAAAATATATACATAAACTTTTCTTATTCTCAGAATTTGTATTCTAATAGGCCAGCAAAGGTAAGGCACACTATACATCTCTTCTCGTTGATTGAATCATGTTGCCAGACCCCAGTGCTATTCAAAGTGTTGTCCATGTCTGACTGCTTGTCTGAGAACTGTTTTCCAGTTTGCAGTGAGATCAAGAACTTGCACCCGAAATGCAAACCAACTACATCACTAAGTGCACTATTTATTATTTAGTTCAACTGACAATTTCTTTTTTTTTTTGGAGCAAGACTTTTGGCCTGAAGAAAGTAGTCTAGTGATTCACAGTCTGGCACAAGCCTCTTATCTTAGTGTGGCCCTAATGTGTGCGGCACTGGCCTGGACAGTTTATCTCAGTGTTGCTGTGAGTGAGGGAAAGGCACAGTATGAGGGTTTTCATTGTAGTCATGCTCTGAGAGAAGTCATTTATTTCAGTAGCGAATTCTTATAAAAGGGAACACTAGGAACATGCCCAAATAAAATCGTCCATTATTGGTTTTTTGAACAAAGGCAGAAAATACTGAAGTTTTCCGAGAAAGAAATAGAAGTATGGGACATTGTCATTGTGCACATGAATGGGATTGCTAATTTGACTAAGCTTGTTCTTGTGTTTCGAACCTATGAAAGCCTCCTACTGGAAAAAAATATATTTCAGGATTATTTTTTTTTCCTAATCCTCACCCGAGGACATTTTTCCATTTTTTTGTTCAGATAGAGTGAGAGGGAGGGAGAGGAAGAGAGAGAGAAACATCGACGTGAAAGGCTGTCTCCCGCACGACCCAACCAGGGCCGGGGACAAGCTGCAACCAAGCTACATGCCCTTAGTGGGAACTGAACCTGGACCACAGGCTGATGCTCTAACCACTGAGCCAAACAGGCCAGGGCCAGGGTAATATTTAAGTAAATGAAATTCTAACATTAAGTGATTATTTGTCAGACATGTGCCTTATATTTGTAAGGTTCAGAATGAGATATTAAATGGGAGTGGATATACCAAATTAAGGCACAGGAAAAAAAGTAAAGTGCATCATCTCCTCTGTCAGATTACTTAAAGATTTTGGGGACGGGACATGTGTGAGGTTTGTGTTTATGCATTGGAAGGAAATTTTTACACACAGTTTCAGGATAAATCAAAGGACTTGATAGAAATTTTATACTTTGCGATAGTCTTTTTGAGCTACAATAGACCCTTACACCTTTACTGATAATTCAGTCACAGTGAAACTGTGACTCAGAACATTCTTTCCTAGATATAATTTGCATGTCAGTGTTTTCCAAGATAGCTCAGTCACCGAGGAAACGTTGATGGAGTCTTTTGACTCCTCTGTTACCAGTTATGGCAACCACTAGCGTGCAGCTCAAGGGTTAGATCTCCTTTACCTTGTGGCCAGCAGGGACTTCTCCTAAAACCCATGAAATGCCAGATGTTTATACCAGGTTCCTATTTATGTGGAACAATGTCATACTGAAGCTTTTAAAATTATTTTAAAGACAGGAAAATATATTTAAAAAATAAAGTAATAATACTTGTTTTAGTTCCCTTCTTTTTGAAGATGATATTTTGCTTGAATTAAGAAACAAAGTTCTCCCAGGATTCCTCTGTCAATACGGCCAGTGTTTTGTATTTCTACCAGTCCATACCCCTGTCAATTTCCTTCCAGAGTAGAAAATTATTTTCCTCACTGCCAAAAAGAGGAAGGAAAACAAACAGAAGCCCATGGTGTTTCTCTGTCTCCTAATTGTGATTATTTGTCATTACCAGTTCTTTATAAGGAAGCAATAATAATATGCTTAGTAAAGTACTTAGTGTTTACTTCTTCCAGTTTTTGTGGAGTAAAAGAGAAAAGCTACAGAGCAAGTTTTACCTTGTTTTTCTGGCAGTACTAGGACTTTCTTCCTGTGCCTTTCCACGGCCACCCCCTGCCATCTGTACAAGTGTATAGTTTATATAGAGAAAAGGCTTGTTAGTCTACACTGTTCTGTTCTCACTGACCGTCTCTGTCCAGGTGTCGTGGTGAGACAGTGAGGGCTAATAGGTGGTTATCGGCGGCAGACATTTCTGCAGACCACTGAAGAAGGTTAGATGACTGCCAGAAGAATGACTGAGTTTTCCTCGTTAGCCTTTGTCTGATAACCAGACCATGTGCTTTTGATTGATTTGGCTTTTTTCTGCTTTCTGACACTGAGAAGTGGATGTGGACTCTCTGGGAAGGCTTGCATCACTCATGTGAGGGGCGTAAGGCCTTGGAAGGATCGTGTAGATGACCAGTTAGTACTGACGATATCTCTTCACCTTCCCTGTTGTCTGTGCTGCAGGTGTTGAGGCAAGGTGTATTTGATGAAGTCTAAAGTTGGAAACTTTAAGGGAGCAGTCAAGGACACACTGAGTTCAATGGCAAAGATACTCAGTAACTTGAGTCTTGGGTTCTAAGATCAGACTCAGCTTCCTTTCCCACACACTAATTTTAGAGGAATGGATAGGAGTGAGTCACTCTCCGTGGGGAATAGGAGGGAAACTGGGAAACTATATCTATTTAAAACCTGAGTCCTGGAAAATATTGTGCTTTGGGAGTCCTTACTGCTTCCCTCCCATCCCGCAAACAGTTTTCTTTCTGAAAACGTTGCTGAAAGCTCTGTGGTCTATGCTTTTGTTTTTTCACATTGATGGTTTTATTGTCTTGGTGCCAAGTGAAGTTTAGAAGTAACGTTGTTCTTCCCATGACTTATCCCTAATCCTTGAATGCCTGTTAACATTGAACCATATATAAGATATATTCCTTGACAAACTTTTGGGAGAAGAATGAATTCTTTTCGAAGGGTGAGACTGTGTCATTTTCTAGCCGTTTGAGTAACCCTTTATCTTTGTATACATGGAGTTAGTTTTCTAAAGACATTTTTAGTTGGTGTAAAAACCTTTAAAAACCTGTGGTAATGTCAGGATACCACTTCTAACTATACTTCTTTTATTTAAGCTATAAGCTTAGGAGATCAGTGAAGATATGATGAACAGCCAAGTTTATTTTCATTATTTAAAAAAAAGTTTGTTGGCCTAAAACTTCCTGATTCATTTTTTCAGTGAGTGTAAAGTTTGACAATAGATTGCTTTTATTTGAGATAAAATCCTAACATCATCTCTTTCGTTCTTTGGTGACCTCATGGCTAGGTGAAAAGCTACGAGTCCTTGGTTACAACCAGAATGGTGAGTGGAGTGAAGTTCGCTCTAAGAATGGCCAAGGTTGGGTGCCCAGCAACTACATCACCCCAGTAAACAGTCTGGAAAAGCATTCCTGGTACCACGGACCTGTGTCACGCAGTGCAGCAGAGTATCTACTGAGCAGCTTAATCAATGGCAGTTTCCTGGTGCGAGAAAGTGAGAGCAGCCCTGGGCAGCTGTCCATCTCGCTCAGGTACGAGGGGCGTGTGTATCACTACAGGATCAACACCACCACAGATGCCAAGGTAAGACTGCCCACCACCTCTGGGTGTGGACTGGCTGCTCCTAAGAAACTATACTCAGACTGACTGAAGAGTATGGTTTTTATGGCTGACATGAAAGAAAATAATCACTGATGTGAGTTTGGTCTGATTGGCATGTTAGAGAGAACTTACGCTTTTCAAAAAAACATGGTAATGGAAATTTAAAACAGTATTATATTAATAGTTCAATGCTGAGCCAGATGTGAAGAAGTATGAAGGAAATTGCTGGGTAAATTAGCTGTTTTAATCATTAATATGTAAATAGACATATATGTCTAATACATTGTATGGAATTTATAAATTAAACTTTTATATCCGAAAATTATAATAATCTCTACCAGAAAGTTCACGGAGTAATAATTGAAGCTTCTAGGATTGGTGCTGCCCTGGCCGGTTTGGCTCAGCGATCAGCGTCGGCCCGCAAACCAGAGCCCAGGGTTCAGTTCCCACTAAGGGCTTGTACCTTGGTTGCAGTTTGTCCCTAGCCCCAGTTGGGGTTGTGTGGGTGGCAGCCAGTCGATGTGTCTCTCTCACATCGATATTTCTCTCTCTCTCTTTCCCCCTCTCTCCCTCCTGCTCTATCTGAAGATAAATGCAAAAAAATGTCCTCGGGTGAGGATGATAATATAGATGAATCATTTAGTAATTTACATGTTGGAAAGATCAACTGGTTTAGAATGGTTGTGTTAGAATGGAACTGGTTCACTTTATGAATTATTAAGCATAGGCTTATGTTAGTTCTTCTATTGAACGGTAAATACAGATGGAATCCTTTCTTCCATTCTTTTCTTTTGTGTGCTATGCACAGTAGGGGAGGCAGAGGCTTTGGAGCAAGCAGATTTGGTTTACTGTGTAACTCCACCACTTATTTATAACTTTGTGACCTTACGTACGCCTCAATTTCCCATCCCACCTTGTTGGATTCTTGTGAGGATTAAATGAAATAATTTCTGTAAAACATAATGGCTGGTACAGTGTAGGAAATAAGAAAATTATGAATTGTCTTTCTCTTTTGTACCACTTTAGAGACATATTCTCTCTTGATAAAACCAAGTAGATTCAGATAAGTAATAATGTATGAGAGACCCAGCAGCTCTACTTCCGGTTAATACCCAACAGGAATGAGTGCACATGTGTACAGAAGGCATGTACAAGGTGTTCATAGCAGAATTAGTTGTAATGGTTCCAAACTAGAAACTCCCAACTGTCTAACAATAGAATGAATTCTGACATTCTGCAGTCTGTATTAGACATGTTGGTTTAATAATGTTTTACTTCTGCCTTAAGGTTTAGGTTTTTTAAATGTATTTTTGCTCTTAAGTGTTAATTTGATGAAAATTCTGCTTTTAAAATCATCACTTAGGGGGTTCTGATTCATTAAAAATTAACCTGAAAAAAATGGAGTGGAAAGAAGGCAGCCAAAATACAATACATGCTGTGTAATTCCACTTGTATAGAGTTCAGATGCAGGCAAAGCTGATCTAAGGTGTTGGAAGTCAGCAGAGTGGTCACCTTTGCAGGGTTAAATATCGGGGATGGCACGAGAGAAGCTTCTGGGGTGTTGGTGACATTATAATTCTCAGTGTGGGAGATGTTAACATTGGATGAGTTTATTTTTAAAAAGCAGCAATTCTCCATTTATTGTATACTTTTCTGTATACAATAAAAGTTTCTTTTTTTAAAAAAAAAATAAGCTCCTTGGGAGGTAAGGTCCAAAGACTATCTTACTTTACACTTATTACCTATCACAGGTTAACTACTGTTTTGGTAACAGAGTCTCTGAAATAAAATATGATTCTTTTAAAAATGACCTAGACACTCAAAAGCATATACTAGTTAAACAAAAATTATAACATATTTGAATACCCTTGCTCTACCAAAAAAATCCAAATCAGTGGTGTTCAAACTATGTTCTGTGTAAGATTCCGAAGGGGTATTTGATAAACTCACAGTCCCCTCTTGCCTACTTCAATCAGATACTCTCTTCCTTTATTTGTCTAATATATTTGAGTTCTACAGTCTTCATGCTTAAAAAGTATTTGAAGACCAGTGATCTTGATGATCCAGAAAGATGTCTTTGAAGTTTTCCCCCATGACTAGAGCTAATGTAGTCAGTGGAGGAAGAGTGGGTGAGCTCTGTGTTCCCTTGCTGCCATCATTTAATTCTTTCACTTACCTCAGGAGGGTGACCTCCTAGCTCTGTAACTTTAGGCCAGTGAAATAGTGGGCTTGAAAAAAATTTTCTGGCCCTGGCCAGGTGGTTCAGTTGGTAGAAGCATTGTCCTGTACACCAGAAGGGGGTGGGTTCGACCCCTGGTGGGGCACTGGGAGGCAACCCACTGCTGTTTCTGTGTCTCTCCCTTCCTCTCTCTCTAAAAAGTCAGTAAACATAATTATTGGGTGAGGATTTTAAAAAGCATTATGATTTCTTTTCAAGTTGGCTTGGCTCCCCCCTGCCTTCCTCCAGGTGTATGTGACTGCCGAGAGCCGCTTCAGCACCTTGGCAGAGCTGGTTCACCATCACTCCACCGTGGCTGATGGGCTGGTGACAACGCTGCACTACCCTGCACCCAAGTGTAACAAGCCTACAGTTTACGGTGTGTCCCCCATCCATGACAAATGGGAAATGGAGCGAACAGATATTACCATGAAGCACAAGCTTGGGGGTGGTCAGTATGGAGAGGTTTACGTTGGCGTCTGGAAGAAATACAGCCTGACAGTTGCTGTGAAAACACTGAAGGTGGGTTGCTGAGAATCACCGTTTTTAGGCATCTTTTTCTTTTGTGCCGAACCACTCTGAAATACTAGCATGCCCCTCTTTAACTTTGGAATGCTTTCCACTCACTGGTGCCAGCACATCAGCACGTTGTGCTGTTCAACCCTAGAGCCACTGCTGACCGTGCAGGGGCAGGTCGCCACTGCAGTGCGGTGGGCCACGTGGGGGCTGGTCTCCAGGCTGTCGATGGAGATCAGTGGGAGGTGGGAAGCAAATTACAAGTTTTAAAGTGAACCGGCTTGTTTTGCTTCCTCAGCACAACCCCTGCTGGACAGAATTCTTCAGCATTGTTCAAGAATCATGGGCATTCTCTCTGGCTTGCTCTCTCCCCCTCTCTCCCCTTCTTTTCTCCTCTCTTCTCCCCTCTTCCCCTCTATCCCTGCCTTTGTTCCCCCATCTCCGTAAGAATGGATCTCTTCCTGAAGCATCTGGGTATCAGATTTCAGAGTGTTCACTCCTCCATTCTCTGAAGATTCTCCTGTATGCCTCAGTGGCTCTGCCACATCACCCATAGATAGACCTGCTCTTCAGTAAGAGTCGTGGTCAGTTCTTTGAGCAAGCATTTATTAAGCACATTCTGAGTGTGGAACGATATTTAAGGCCTTGCAAGCATGCATTGCTCCTTAAGGAATTTGTCAGGAATACAGACATCTAAACAGCTAACTGTTATGTCTCCTCTTTCAGAGCTGGCTGTTAGCTATCAAAGAACCGAATTATTGAGGTCTCCTGTGTGTGTGTGTGTGTGTGTGTGTGTGTGTGTGTGTGTGTGTTTCAGCCGTGATAGGATGTGATTGCTGAATTCTGCTCACCCTTCTAATTTTCACTCATTTCAGATATTAGATAAATTTAAGGACAGATTTTTCTTTCTTAATTAGCCTTCTGTAGAGAATATAAAGTTATGAAAACATTTCTTGATGTATATGTTAAAATATTCAAAAGATGCCACCTTTAAAGCTGAAGTTTTAGGGTTGTGAGTTGACTCAGATGGTTAAGGTGAGGGTTTGCTCTTCTTCTCGCCCCTCCCAGGAAGATACCATGGAGGTGGAGGAGTTCCTGAAAGAAGCTGCGGTGATGAAGGAGATCAAGCACCCTAATCTGGTACAGCTGTTAGGTAGGAAAGCTTGCCTGGACCACAGGTTTTCTCAAAGATTCTTGTCCCCCAACACCCCATTATCTTCAAATTTTCCTTTGAATCACCAAGTGTGAATCTACTTTAACAAATGGTTGCTATTTTAATCAGGCTTTGTGTTTAAAATTTGCCCAAGAGCCCTTTCTGGTGTGGCTCCGAGATAGGATTGTCAGCCCCCTTACTAGGTAGTCTAGGGTTGGATTCTGGTCAAGGGCACCTACCTGGGTTGCAGGTTTGATCCCCAGCACTGATCAGGTGAGTGCAGGAGGCAACCAATCAAGGTGTCTCTCTTCCATCGATGTTTCTCTCTCTTCCTTTCCCCCTCCCTCTCTTCCTCTCTCATCCTTCCACTCTCTCCAAGAATCATATATCCTCAGGTGAGGATTAGCAACAACAACAAATTTGCCAAAGAAACAGTGGCCTGGATTGATTGCAATGTGTAAAACTGCCCAGTTTGTGGTAATTGCCCCAGATTCAAAGTTCAGAATCATTCAAAATGATTCCAAATCGAAAACTGTCACAAAATGATTTCACAAAATAAAGAAACACTAAACAAAGGACTATTGAAAAGAAGCAGATTAAACGTGACCACGCCCATCAGATTACCTTTACAAGCAGAAAATACTGTGCTCTGGTAGATTGGCTTCTCACCTGTTCAGGTCACTAAGAAGCCTGTGTCTGACCCCTTTGCCCTTTTCAAAATAGGGGCACTTTCTTTGGGTGTTCAAATTGAGTCAAACTATCCCAAGGAAATAGTTCTTGATGGTTCTTTACAAGGAATCTGCCACATATTTGATTTACGGAAAAAATTTATAATCTTTTTACAAAGCGTTGTTACAGGCTGGGCTCACATAATCCTTAACATATGCAGTATTGGGGTTACTTTTATTTATTTATTTCTAAATTCATATTGTTGGGTATATTACAAATGTTCCCCATTTTTGCCCCATTGACCCCTTTCCTCCCCACTCATGCACCCCCCCACCCCCACGCCTTCCCCACACTATTTTCTTTGTCCATTGGTTATGCATATTTGCATATAAGTCCTTTGGTTTATCTCTTCCCACCCCTTCTCACCCTTCCTTTTGTGGTGCATCAATCTAACAACCAATTTGTACTTCTTAATCCCTTCACTTTTTTCACCCACCCCTTCAGTTCCCTCCCATCTGGCAACAAAAGTTCTCTGTATGTATGAGTCTGTTTCTGTTCTGCTTATTCATTTGGTTTGTAGATTCAATTGTTGATATGTACTTATTGCCATTTTAGTGTTCATATTTTTTATCTTCTTCTTAAAGAAGACCCTATAATGTTTCTTGTAATACTGGTTTGGTGGTGATGAACTCCTTTTGAATTGTGGTTACTTTTAGATAAGCACTATTAGCGTGCAGTTGAGAATGGGAATTGCGAGCCATATACAGAACTCCAGAAAGTTTGGTCTTCCTGATCCCTTATGGAATTAATACAAGTTACTGCTTTTGCCCACACAGCAAATACTCAAGTGCATATGAATTTCCAGAATTATGTATTGGAAGTAGAGAGTCCCTTATCAACCATCTTCTTAACTTGGCTATATTTTCAGGGAATGTGATAGCAAGGAGGGAAAAGATTACTGAACTAGATTTGAATATATACTAATAAAACAAGCTTTATTCTTGAACTGTCAGGTGTGTGTACTTTGGAGCCACCATTTTACATTGTGACTGAATACATGCCCTATGGAAACCTGCTGGACTACTTGCGAGAATGCAGCCGAGAGGAGGTGACCGCGGTCGTGCTGCTGTACATGGCCACGCAGATCTCTTCTGCAATGGAGTATTTAGAGAAGAAGAATTTCATCCACAGGTGTGTCACATCTGAGCATTACCTTCGATTAACCATGAAGCTACCTTGCATGTCATGCACATAAAGGGAAGAATGTGAGAACCTTCCCAGACATTTTCAGATGATTCAGGAAATTTTCCTTTTCACAGAGCTCATTATGAGGTCACTTCCAACTTATAAACCTATGCACTCTGATTAGAGTATTAATGAGGGACCTTTGCTATCCTCAAAACAGAAAGCTCTTTATTTTGCCCAGGCCTATTTTCAGTAGCCTTTTTTTCCTTCTAGTGACTTAATTTAAAAAATAGCTTTCTGTCTTAATAACTTAAACCCTTGCAGAAAAGTATCTGTTCACCTCTGAAAACATTCCCAATGTGTAGTTGACCCTTGAACAACAAGTGTTTGTACTGTGAGGGTCCACTTATATACACAGGTTTTTTTTTTTTTCTATAAATACATATAGTACTGTAAATGTATTTTTCTTCCTTATGATTTTCTTAATATATTATTTTCCCTAGCTTATGTTATTATAAGATTATAGTGTATAATACATATATAGCTAATAGTAATTAGCTATTATTAGTAGCTAAGTTTTGGGGAGTCAAATGTTATGTGTGGATTTTTGGCTGCATGGGGGTGGGGTGGGGGTGGGGTCGGTACTCCTAACCCCTCGCATTGTTTAAGCGTCATTTTATGAAGCCTGCTTTATTCTGGCATCATATAACTACTCTTGATGAGTAACTCTACAAGTGATGTACAATTAGAGGCTTTCTACCCTGTCAGCAATTGTCATAAAAACCTGTATCTGTCAGCACTTATCAACTCTGCTTGAGACACAAATAACCGAGAATAGAGCCTTCACGGTTACTTTCCTCACCATCTACATAGGATCACACTAGGGTTCTCTATCCTACAGAGATCTTGCAGCTCGGAACTGCCTAGTGGGAGAAAACCATGTGGTAAAAGTGGCTGACTTTGGCTTAAGTAGATTAATGACTGGAGACACCTACACTGCTCATGCCGGAGCCAAATTTCCTATTAAATGGACAGCACCAGAGAGTCTTGCCTACAATACCTTCTCAATTAAGTCTGACGTTTGGGGTAAGGTTGGAAGAAGCTTTTTTCTGTGTGTTTTCTCTATAAATGCTATTAATTCTCCAGAGCTTCTCTATATATGATTAATATCCTTTGCTTTTACCCTCACCTCTTCAATCATTCTGCAAGCATTTATTTATTTATTTATTTTTTATCCTCACCTGAGGACATTTTTCCGTTTTTTGTTCAGATAGAGTGGGAGGGGGGAGAGACAGGAAGAGAGAGAGAGAGAGAGAGAGAGAGAGAGAGAGAGAGAGAGAGAAACATCGACGTGAAAGGGACACATCGAGTGGCTGCCACCCACACGACCCAACCAGGGCCAGGGACAAACTGCCCTTAGCGGGAACCGAACCCGGGTCTCTCTGGACCGCAGGCTGACGCTCTAACCGCTGAGCCAAACTGGCCAGGGCTGCAAGCATTTATTAAATACCTACTGTCTGCCAGGCATTGTGCTAGGCACTTAGCATAGAAAGAAGTGTAAAGAAGAAAGTGAAAAAAAGAAGTACCTGCTTCAAAGAGCTCACAGCCTAGATCTCATATTGCATTGGATTTAATGGTGCTTTTTCTGTGAAGCTCCTTGTTTTCCACATTAGGTTTTAGTGCTCGTTTCCAGGGCCCAGGGACACACATTAGCACCCTCTTTTCAAGGAAGGCATGCTGAAATTTCAGCTAGGTTTATCCTGGTGACTGATCTTGTTTCTCTGGCCATGAAAAGCAGTATGATTTAGGGGGACTGAACAAGTCTGGAAATTTGGATTGTGGGCCAATAGAAATAGTTGTGAGATTCTAAGTCACTCTTTACCAGAAATCTCAAACTCAGAAATAACCAGTGACAAAAATCAAGCAAATTCTTTTTTCTAGAGTGGATGTTATCTGATTTTAAATGAGTTCATTTTTATATTTACTCCTCTAATATTAGCTGACACCAAAACTGTGAAACTTGCCCTGGCCAGTTTGGCTCAATGGTTAGAGCGTCGGCCCACAGACCAAAGAGTCGCGCGGGTTTGATTCTGGTCAAGGGCATGTACCTCTGTGGTTTGGTCCCTGGCTCTGGTTGGGGTCATGTGGGATGAAACCAATCGATTTGTCTCTGTCAATTGATGTTTCTCTCTCTCTCTTTCTCTCCCACTCTATCTGAAGATAAATGGAAAAATATCCTCGGTTGAGGATTCAAAACCAAACCAAACCCTGAAAATCATTAAATAGATCATAGATTTCTCTAAGAATAGTTTGATTATGCCCCAGACTTCTTATATGGTCATAGTTTATTCTTCATTGTAGTAAAGGAAGTCTAAATAAAAGATGGGAAATACAAAGAAAACCATCTTGAGATTGTACCTGAAATGTTCCCATGACAGATATCTTAGAAGGCCAACTAATCCTGTAAGAATTAGGAGCATATACTTTGGATAACTAAATGTTACCCAAAATTTGAAAGTTAATTACCTAATGGTATAAAATAATAAATTAGAGAAGAAACATTAAGCTCTTCTTTTTTATCTCTTATGCAGCTTTTGGGGTACTGTTGTGGGAAATTGCTACCTATGGAATGTCACCGTATCCAGGTATTGACCTGTCTCAGGTCTATGATCTACTGGAAAAGGGATATCGAATGGAACAGCCTGAAGGATGCCCCCCTAAGGTTTATGAACTTATGAGAGCATGTGAGTATTTTTGCATATTTTGATTTTGAAGATTTGAGTCAGCAATTCAGGGTGATTAGCCCTGGTCGTTGTGGCTCACTTGATTAGAACGTCATCCCATACACCAGAGATGGTGGGTTTGATTCCTGGTTAGGGCACATACCCTGGTTGAGGTGCATATGGGAGGCAGCTGATTGATGTTTCTCACATCGATGTTTCTTTCTCCGTCTCTCCCTTCCTCTCTCTAAAAATCAGTTTTTAAAAAATAGGATAACAAGAAGTTGGGTTTGGAGTTAGGTAGTGAAGGATGGCTTTCAACTAGATAAAAATGATTGCTAAAGAATGGAGAATATATTAAAGTAACCTCTGTGATGAATAAACATGTACCTGACTCCTTGAAGGTGAGAGGGAAGAGTAGGAAGGTGGTAGTGAATTCAGTTACAGTTGTGTTTGAGCAGAGGTCTTATTTTCTCATTGAGCACTGGCATTGCCTGCTGCCATCTCTTAGTCAAATGTGGACTCCAAGTTCTTTCCTTCTGATGGCCTGTTATATTTCAGAATATGTACAGCTCAAGTTTCCTAAGGTTAGAGTGAGTTTGAAGACAGGTTTAACTTCTGTTATTTTTCCAGTGGAAGAAAACTTGCCATTTTCTAAACTGTCTCCCCATCCCTGTAGTAGAGGGAATAGGAGCAGAGGCTGCATAGGACTTGCCCTAGGAAGCGGGTTCATTACCCTCTGAGTGGAGGTGAGAGGCAGCGGACTCCCTATCATTGTGATCACGCGGTAATTCTGCTTTGACAAGCACTCACCATGAGGCGTGGACTCGCTGTCAGGTGCACCATGGATATTTCTTCCTGTGGGGCACTTTCAACACTTCCTCTTTTGGCACATAGGCTGGAAGTGGAGCCCTGCTGACAGGCCTTCTTTTGCTGAAACACATCAAGCTTTTGAAACCATGTTCCATGACTCCAGCATTTCTGAAGGTGAGACTCGGGTGGCTCCTGGTTGTGGCTAGTGCTGGGTGGTGGCGGTAACGCCTCAGAAACAGCGCAGTGTCGCTTGGGACTCTGTTTCAGGATATGAGTGAATTCTTGGCCTTCATTATTCTTGTTTTGCCTTTTTTATTAAATTGCTGTTTTTCATATTGAAGTTATATTTTAATTACAAATTAATTCAGTCTCTTCATAAAGAGAGTAAGTTCAGTAGTTTTTAAAGCATTAACACTTACGTAGAGAAGAGAAGAAGAGAAAATGAGTATGTAAAACATTCCAGCTCCTTGCACCATACCTGCAAAGGCAGAACCAAGTCATAAAAGCAATATCGAGAAATTCTGTTTCTGGAAATAGATCCTAAGGAAAAAATCAAGGGCATGAACAAAGATTTAGTTACAAGGATGTTCCAGCAGAGTGTAGTTTATAATATTGGAAAATTAAGAAAAATTTAAATATCGAATGGGCTGTTAATGATCATCTCCATATAATTAAATATTTAAAATGGTATTCTTAAATATATTGACACGTAGAGGAGTTCAGAATGAGCATGTGAAGTTATGCTGTGAACAGTGAGAACCCCCATCTAAAAACAAGGGTACGGACATGTACAGGGTTTCCTAATTCTGTGTATAATTCTTCTCAAATTATCTGCAAAAAGCAAGCAGTGAACTTGTTATAAAGAGGGCCTATTCCTAGAGAGCTAAAAACGTGACATTGTTAGTTGTACTCGCCTATTAGACACTTTGATATAGTTCCAGAATTTTATACGTATTTCTCAAATGTTTCCTTTCCTTCATAATTGAGTACAGAACTTACTGCTTAAGTTCAAGTTTTAAAAACTAGAAGAGGCCTTGGCCGGTTTGGCTTGCAGTTAGCACATGGCCCTCAGACCGAAGAGTCGCAGGTTCTATCCCTGGCCCAGGTCAGGGTCATTCGGGAGGCAACTAGTCATTGTGTCTCTCTCCCATAGATGTTTCTCTCTCCCCTCCCTCTTTCCCCCCATCCCCCCTTCCACTCTAAAAAAAAAAATTCAATGGAAATATATCCCCGGGTGAGGATTTAAAAAAATATCTGTATATATATTTATGAAGAAGAAATCAGGCAAGTTGATTTTTGTCTACTTCCCTCAGTGATTTATCATGTCTAGGTGAGAAGAACAAGAAAAGTAGAACATCAAAGTTTAATCAATGTTTACATGTTGGTCCTTTGATGTGGAATTTCTGCAGGTGGGGAGGGCACAGCGGGCCCTTCCGGCCAGATTGAACAGCTGCCTGTCCCCAACGTCTCTCCTGTGGTGTCAAAGTGGTAGACATCATGAGTATCGGCCAAAGAGTAGGGTCCATTTCTCTGGTGCTTTGGTGTCAACTTTTAACTTCTGTTGAATCCTTAGTTAATATTTCTGCTTCTCTTGAAAATGTTACATCCTTTAAGAAAATTGGCTCTTATCAATTTTCAAAGCTCGCTTCAATTCACAGTTGCTAAATAAGAAATTTAATGTTCAACTAATAATTTATTAAGCATTTAATCTGTGGCAGGGACTATACTAGGTCTGAAGACACAGAGATAAGACACAGTTCTGACCTTAAAAGGATGTATTTAGTTGTAAGTAAAGGAAACCTAACTCAAACTTCCTTAAGTAATAAGAGGAGGATTTATTGGCTCATAACCAAACCGAGGGAAAGTGGGGATGATGTTACCAAACCGTGGGAAAGCAAGGATGATGTTAACCTCAGAGTCATGGTCTCAAGTACCTTCGAGGCTTCTCCTTCCCCCTCCCTCCTTCCCAAAGCCTCTCCCACCCAACATGTCTTTACTTTTTGCTTCTTCATTGATCTCGTCCTCAGAATCCTCCAGGTGGTATTGGACACAGCTGTCCGCATCCTCAAGGTCATGTCTGACCCCTAGCTGCTGTGCATAGCAGCGTAAGAAAGGGCTCTCATTGGATTGGTTCGATTATGTGCCATATACCCACTGTTATGGGATGTAGGTTTTTTTAAATAATTACCAAAAAATGTAAAATAATTAAAAATTTTACGACCTAATTGATCCTACTGGCTTCACTTTTTAAAAATCTTTATTGTTGAAAATATTATAGATGTCCCTCCTTCCCCCCCCCATTGACCCCCCCCCCTTTCACCTCACCATTTTTGTTTAAGAATGAATAGCAAATTTTGTCTTTGCCTCAGTGAAAAACACAGAACCATGGCCAGGTTTAGCCAGCAACGCTTTTTGATGGGTGAACCTTTTTTCAGGAGCCTCATCTGCACAAAATGGAATGTATCTACCCTTCCTTTTTAGTACAAGGTACAACCAAAAAAATAAAGGTCTCTGCAGACATCCATTGGCTTTGTTCAGCCCCTGAACAGAGACTTAGTAAGCAAGGATAGCCGAACGACCAGTAAGCATATGAAGACCATGCTCAATATCACTCCTCGTCAGAGAAGTACAAAGTAAAACAATGAGATCTCGTTACATTCCCACCCCAGAATGACTAAAAATAAAAGCACAAAAAACCTGATAACAGAAAACGGGCAAGCATGCAGAGTAACCAGAATTTTATACAATGCTAGTGTGAGTGTAGATTGGTACAGCCATTTGGGGAGATAGTTTGGCAGGAAAAAGCCAAATTTACATGCATCTCATGACCACCAGTCCTGCTCATGCAATTGTGAAGCAGAGGACGTAGCAGGACGCCTCTAGCAACGTAGTCATTGTAGCCCAGCACTGGAAACAAGTGGAGGAGAATGGGTGGACTTCAGTGCATCCCTCTCACCTGGACGGGACACAGGCACGAGGGAAGCCTCGGCACGTGCAGCGCCCTGCACGGCTCCAGACACAGTGCTGAGCACGACTGCACAGACACAGTGCTGAGCACGACTGCACAGACACAGTGCTGAGCACGACTGCACAGACACAGTGCTGAGCACGACTGCACAGACACAGTGCTGCGCACGACTGCACAGACACAGTGCTGAGCACGACTGCACAGACACAGTGCTGAGCACGACTGCACAGACACAGTGCTGAGCACGACTGCACAGACACAGTGCTGAGCACGACTGCACAGACACAGTGCTGAGCACGACTGCACAGACACAGTGCTGCGCACGACTGCACAGACACAGTGCTGCGCCAGGGAAGCCAGACAGAACAGAGTGCACACTGTGACTCCATCTGTGCATGTTAGTGCTCTGTTCTCCAGTTTTCTCACTGTTGTATGCCTTTTCTGAAAAGAACTCCTTTGCTCTGTCCTGAAACTGCTCTTTTCCTCGGTCCCCTTTCTCCCCACAGAGGTAGCTGAGGAGCTGGGGAGAGCTGCCGCCTCCTCGTCTGTCGTCCCCTACCTGCCCCGACTACCTGTGCTTCCTTCCAAGACCCGGACGCTGAAGAAGCAGGCCGAGAACAAGGAGAACATCGAAGGCTCCCTAGACGCCCCCGACGGCTCTGCTTCCAGTTCAGCACCAGGTATGGGTCCCTAGGCGGGCGAGTCAGATGGCCTTGTTTAAAGAACTGTGGGCTATGGTGCTTCTGTTCCTACCTCCTGCTTGTCTTCCCCGAGGAAAGTGTGGCTGGCGCCCGTTTTACTTACCACTGTCCTCAGCTCTGTCACTGTGTTAGGAGTCCTGGTGCACCCACTTGCATGCAGTCTGCCGCCCCCCCATTTCCTTGCCCCGAGCCCCAGATACTTGCCATCTTTGCAGTTCTGGCCAACACTTCTTCAGTGACCCTGAGATTGAGGCCAGGTTGTACAGTAGTTTCTGGAGAAAACTGAAGGCTGAGGAAAAACCAGCGGGGTATTTCTTCCCATGTGTATCCCATGTCACAGTAGGAACACTGATCAGTGTGAAATGGTAATGTGTTTGTTAGTTTCCTCTGACTCTTACAGTTAGACCTTAGTAACTCGAGTGTAACAAATGCCTTCTTGTCTTTCACATTACTGATTGGCCGTTTCTCATCAGGGTTCATTAGAAGTGCACAGGCCCCCAGTGGGTCCCCAGCACTGCCTCGCAAACAAAGAGACAAGTCACCCAGCAGCCTCTTGGAAGATGCCAAAGAGACATGTTTCACCAGGGATAGGAAGGGAGGCTTCTTCAGCTCCTTCATGAAAAAGAGAAATGCTCCCACACCCCCCAAACGCAGCAGCTCCTTCCGAGAAATGGAGAATCAGCCCCACAAGAAATACGAACTCACGGGTAACTTCTCATCTGTTGCTTCTCTGCAGCATGCTGATGGGCTCTCTTTCACTCCTGCCCAGCAAGAGGCGAATCTTGTGCCCCCCAAGTGCTATGGGGGGAGCTTTGCACAGAGGAACCTCTGTAATGACGACGGCGGTGGCGGTGGGGGCAGTGGTGCTGCAGGCGGTGGGTGGTCTGGCATCACGGGCTTCTTTACGCCACGCTTAATCAAAAAGACCCTGGGCTTGCGAGCAGGTAAACCCGCAGCCAGTGATGCCACTTCCAAGCCTTTTCCAAGGTCGAACTCTACGTCTTCCATGTCCTCAGGGCTTCCAGAGCAGGATAGGATGGCAATGACCCTTCCCAGAAACTGCCAGAGGTCCAAAATCCAGCTGGAAAGGACAGTGTCCACCTCTTCTCAACCAGAAGAGAATGTGGACAGGGCCCATGACATGCTTCCCAAAAAATCAGAGGAAGGTGCTGCTCCAACCAGGGAGAGACCAAAAGCCAAACTTTTGCCCAAAGGAGCCACAGCTCTTCCTCTCAGAACCCCCTCCGGGGATCCAGCTGTCACAGAGAAGGACTGTCCAGGGGTGGGGGTGGCTGGAGTAGCAGCTGCCCCAAAGAGCAAGGAGAGGAACGGCGGGGCCCGGCTTGGCATGGCGGGGGTCCCAGAGGGTGCTGAGCAGACAGGCTGGGCTTCTCCAGCCAAGGCTGCGGCTGTCCCCCCCACCGCCCACAACCACAAAGTGCCCGTCCTCATCTCCCCCACTCTGAAGCACACTCCAGCCGACGTGCAGCTCATTGGCACGGACTCTCAGGGGAACACATTCAAGCTCCTGTCCGAGCATCAGGTCACATCTTCTGGAGACAAAGACCGACCCCGACGGGTAAAACCAAAGTGTGCCCCACCCCCACCACCAGTGATGAGACTACTGCAGCATCCACCCGTGTGCTCAGACCCCTCGGAAGAGCCGACGGCCCCCGCTGCCGGACAGCCCGCGTCAGAAACACAGGAAGGAGGGAAAAAGGCGGCTCTGGGGGCAGTGCCCACTAGTGGGAAAGCTGGGAGGCCAGTGGTGCCCCCACCTCAAGTGCCTCTGCCCACATCTTCCATCTCGCCAGCCAAAATGGCCAACGGCACAGCAGGTACTAAAGTGGCTCTGAGGAAAACCAAACAGGCAGCTGAGAAAATCTCAGCCGACAAAATTAGCAAGGAGGCCCTGCTGGAATGTGCTGACCTACTGTCCAGTGCACTCTCGGAACCGGTGCCCAATAGCCAGCTGGTGGACACCGGCCACCAGCTGCTCGACTACTGCTCAGGCTACGTGGACTGCATCCCTCAGACTCGCAACAAGTTCGCCTTCCGAGAGGCCGTGAGCAAACTGGAGCTCAGCCTGCAGGAGCTGCAGGTGTCTTCGGCAGCGGCTGGGGTGCCCGGGGCCAATCCCGTGCTTACTAACTTACTGTCGTGTGTGCAGGAGATCAGCGATGTGGTGCAGAGGTAGCCGCTGTTAGCCTAGTGGGGACAGGCACACGTTTCTGAGGGGAGGGGGAGGGACTTGTTTTCCTGTGTTCTTGTTTTCAAAAAATGAAAGACTGATACTTGAGTGTGTTTATGTGAAGTACCTCAGCTCTCTGAGATCTCACGTTTACAGGTTCATCTCAAAAATAACAAAAAGCAAAACTCATAGGAGAGAGAAATTGGACGGGATTGGAAGCTGCACTGGAACATCAGGGAACATGTGAGTGGTGCCGTGAAGACCCAAACCCACCCTTTCTTACCTGGAGCTGCCAGGAGGTTAGACAGGGCTGCCCTCGGCAGTGCTCGGGACTGTCCCGCACAGAGGGAGCTGGCGGAGGGCGCCAGGAGGTACCGATGGGGGTCGTGTTCCATCTCGCCTAGCGAATCTGGTGAGCCAGAAGAAAGGAAAGCTGGGAAGGGACTAAGCGAGGTTTCTAGAAGCAGCTGTTAGCCTTGCTTCCACAAGGTCACTGCTGCAGTAAGAACTGCGAATCAGATGACCGGAATTACAAAACTGGGAAAGGTGGCCTGTCTGCTCCTGTCCTGCTTTCCATGGGTGTGCTCACCGGTGCCGGAAGTAAGAATACTGGGGAGTCTAGCTGGGAGATTGAAGCCTCCTAAAATTTCCTGTTGATCAGCAGAAGTCGCTTCTTCCAGTCTAGTATGTCACTTCCTAATGGACAGGATTAGGGGGTCTCTTCAGTGGTTCTTCTCTGCCTCCTGCTGGGCGGGCTGTCTTCCTTTATTCCTGGTGGCATTCAGGCATTAACCAACATTGATTTTGAAATTAGTGGTCACGGACAGGTTCTCGCAGGGAACCCTTTCTGATCCAGTACCCCTGCACACTGACATACTAGTCAAGGATTTGGCAGCTGTATGTTTCTTTATCAACCAGAAGACCCACGAAAGGGACTCTCCTTGGAACCCAACAGGCCCAGAGGTCTGTGACTGAGAGGAGAAGCTGGTTTGGTCCCAATGGTGGTTTCTCTGTACCTTTCCCTTCCCTCGTCGCCTTAGACACAGTCCAGGTAGAAAGTAGAGAGGAGTGCACTCACTCTCTCCCCTCCCCTCCGCGGATTTCAAATGCATCACCCCAGTTATTCTCACATGCTTTTCTACTTTCACATACCCCTCCCCTCGTTGTGCTTGTTTGTGAAGATCACATTGGGAATATTCTTTAATATTTATTTTAAGAATGTATAATTGAAGGAGCACATCATTTCCAGGGAACACCAGTTAGATCCGGGACACCTAATGACTTAACCCTCAATTTTATGTTTTGCCTTTGAAAGATAGGCCTTTTCCCTCCCTACTCATTTATAATTATGGAAACTAATTAGGGTCACAGGGAGCTAGATCTAATTGTTTAGATACTAATATTCTCAATATCAGGCATAATCCCAGTTACCGCTCCATTCTGTTTTTAAAGCTTTATGACCCCGCCCCCAAGGAGAACCCAACACACAAAAAAAGAAATACATTTTTTCTTCCAAAGGAATATTATTTGGGAAGCTAGGAATTCAGCACTGGTGAGGAGTGAACTTCTTCCTGCCTCCGCCCTCGATCCGCTGTCAACCACAGCCCATCTCTGTCTGTCCCGAGAGGTGGTGATGCGCGTGCGCGGGTCTGCAGGCGGGCGCCGGCGCCCTGTGGAGCCTCCCCAGAGAGCTCTCCGTGCAGTGTTCTTACGTGGAAGTGTTTTTCATTCTCTTCTTTGCTCAGCAGCAAACCATGAAACTTAGAGCTGTTGAGATTATATTAATTGGGCTAGAATACTGAGAGGGAAAAACTGTTTTGGACAGAGTTTGGCATCTTTGACCAAGGAGGAAACTTGGATCCTTATGGCTGCTTGAGAGGAGGCCCAGGCCAGGAGAAGGGTTTGAAGGAAGGAGACAGCACCGGGTGTTCCTGCTGGGTCCGCGGGCTCTGCCGCTGTTGGAAGGCGCAGCGCAAGCAGCTGGTGATGGTTGGGAGAGAAGCCCGAGCCGCTTCGCGTGGGTCTGAAACCAGCAGCCGCTGCCTCTCCTCAGCCGCCCCCTTCCTTACTCACTTCCAGAAACTTGAAATCGTTTTAGCAATTAACCTTTTAAGGGTGGGGCAGGGAAAGCTAAAACTTTAGAATATTTTATGCTGCTTTTTAAGTTTATCCCTGTCATTGTGGGATGCAAGTTGAGGGATTATAATTGTTTTTCAGGGGATTTTTTTTCTTCCTAAACAAGGGATCTTTCCTTGAGAGCTCTGAAAATAAGCCTTGGAGGAACACTACTGAGTGTATTTAAGCTCCCCAGTACGGTATTCTCACCCGAGAATATCTTGAGGTTGGGGGCTGTGTCTTACTCAGGGGCGGCACCTGGCTCTGTCTTGCCTGTAGTAGGTGCTCAGTGAGTTCGTGCATTGAGCTTCTCCATCTGTCCACAGCAGATCGACTCTTGCAGCACCCGTCCACATGATGCTTGAACTGTGGAGCTACAGGGGCAGAGCTCAGGGCTAAGGTTAAAGGGGCACTGCCAACTTATAAAGTGTGATTTAGGTTTTTCCTTTTTCTACTTGAAAAGGACCAGAGTTTAAAAATAACTTTATGGAAATTTAAAAGTTTGAATTCAAAGCAGAGAAAACTGCTTTTAGAAACTAAAAATGTAGTTTAATTCTATCTGGTTTAAAAGCAAAGCTGAGAGCAGGAGCAAACAGACTCCTCCAAACGGTGAGAACTCCCTAGAGTGGAGATGTGTGAGTATACGTGTGCACACGGCTTTGGGCTCCGCAGCCGAGCCCTTCGTGTGCAGAGAGTCAGTTTCAGTTTAGATCTTCCTACCTTAAAATGCAGTATTTTGTGTAGAATACATCTTCATTGTGCTTTACATGAAGTATTTTCTTAAAGGGCTTTGTGTAAAATTAAAATGTATATATTTTCCTACAGAATTCCATCATAATTTTCAGAAATGTAGCCTTAAAAAAATTTGGCCCTAAGAAATTCCTCAGTGTTTTTCCAGATGACCTCTGTACATTGAGGTCTTTATAGTGGATTCCTTGCCCCAGTTGCATTTTGGATTTTTAATTAGAATTTTCTTATAATATATTGGAAAGTTGGCTAATAAAATAGTGCCCAGTTAATAAAATATGCTGACTCTGCTAAGACATAACCCATATTTATTGAACTAAAGTTATGGAGCTTTTGAGTTGAGGATACAATGTAGATAATGATGAAGAGGTCACACTAGAAAGCAAGTCATTTAATCTTCCTGAGCCTTAGTTTCCTCACTGGAAAACAGGGATAATAATAGTAACTACCTCGGGTTGTCATAAGGATTAAGTGATAATATATGTAAGATACTTGGCTTCAGTGCCTGGCATTAGTGAGCACTCCGTAAATGTTAACTACTGCTATTACTTTAATAAACTTAGTCCAGAGAATCTTAGCCAGGGATGTGCAACAAAATCCCCTGCAGTTTAAAAACACACACAAAGAAAACCTGATGCGTTGATCAGAGCACTATCATCCTTTTTCTTGACAGCTTAAGAAATTGGAAGAAAGGATAGTTAAGTTACTTGCCCATGATCTCAGAGCAGTTAATTAGTGGCAGAGTCAAGGCTAGAGTTCCGATCTCTCGGCTTTCTGGTTGTGGGGTCCCTCGCCGCTCCTGCTGCTTTGAGATGCTGCAAACAAAGTGGCTCAGATAGACAATCAGTCTGCACCGCGTGCACACCTGAAGCACACGCTCCAGCACTCCGACCCGAAGGGGCTTAAATGCTGAGTGATGGCCACACTAGCAAAGCAGGCATTCGACAGAAGTCAGCGATTTAAAAAGTTGTGTGGAGTCATTCTTTGGGACAGACCTCAGCAGCACAGCAATCTGCACTTTGTAATAAAGAAATACCAACTTAAGTTTTAGAAAGCCTAGTCCTACATTCCTTTTTCTTAAAAAAAAGCAAACAACTTTACTCTGTGCCATTTTAATGACTGAAATAATGTATATGAAAGCACTTTGAGAAAAAAGTATCAAATGTAATATAACTAACTTACAAGGTTGTATTATTAATGTCTATTAAAAGTTAAAGCAGTTGGTTAGATGCTGATTGAGTTACAGGCTTTTACCTGTGGGGGACCTGAAAATGCAGATATGTAAAGTCACCTCTGTAATTTATGACATTTATAAATATGAAACTGCTAAAAGAATATGTTCAGGTATAGTAAATGTTTTACTAAAATTGTAGCTCAGTGCTGAATGACTTCAGAAAACTAGGGACCAACATTCTGGTTCAATTAGAATCATTAAAAGTAGCAATGGCACTCACTGCAGTCAGGGGAGCTCCTCCAGGCCTCGGCTCCGCAACAAGGCCCTGTTAGTTTTGAACATGTGTCCACTACACGTTCAGTCGGTTAGCCTCCTGAATGTGGTGGGAGCCGACGCATCACCTGTTGATGTTGACAGTGTCTTTTTTAACCTGTGTCTTGCGTGGGGTTTTTTGTTTTATTTTTGCAGGGCAGGGATGTGGGGGCGAGAAGAGGTTAGACAGTTGTACACAGTGTTTTGGAAATTACTTTTAGGATTTCCTATCAGTTATAAATGAGCTGGACATTCATCATCCACGTTTGTTTGTTTTTTCTAAGAAGAGTAGCTTAACATAACTCACCTGTTAGATTATAAAATGCCCAAGAGGAAACTGCATTAGTGGCCACTTTGAGTGACAACTGCACTGTATTCTGACATCTGTTCCCTTCCATGTCCGTTACTGATTCATCGCTGCTGTCAGGCTCTGCTCCTGCGGGAGTTCATATTGGGCTGACGGGTTGTCTGTAGTTTTGTTCTAGATGCCTTTTGGGTTTCATCGTCTTCTTGCATTAATTTTGGGCCGAGCTTTCTGCCCTAAGCATCTGTGACCAGTCCTCTTTATGTAGGTGGGTCTCTAGCCCTAAGTTTTTTCTGATGTATTTATTAATAGATTCCAGTTCTGTCTTAGCTTCTGAAAAGCCCGTAGCTCAGTTCTTTTGTAAATGCCTGATTCAGTGTGAGACCTGTGGGAGCAGGAGAGAAGGGGAGAGGCCAGCCCCACGGGCACCTGACAACCCAGGGAAGTTGCTGCCGGCCACAACCTGGTCACAGAAGAAGGCGCTGGGCTGGTTCTGAAGCGTGCCCCACTGTTAGCAGGATGTTTATGTCTTTGGGATAGAGTTTGAGTTTTCCAACTCCCAGACTTAAAAGATATCTAATATAAGGCTTGCTGTTTTGGGCAGGCCAATAGTGCCTGGAGTAACAATTCCCGTTACCTCTCTGTTCCCACGGGGCCTCCGCTGCCTGCCCCATCCTCCTGTATCACTGGGGCGCATGGCAGGTTTCAGGCTGTGCCGTGGGCAGCACCCTGCTCCAGAGCATCCACCTCAGTGACTGTCTTAGCTCCAGGCTGTCTTCTGTGGAGTTTGCTGCAGTGTCGAAGAGATGAGTGTCTGCTCTGGTTCTGCTGCTTTTCATGCCCTCCACCTAACGTCTATGTTCTCTCTGAGATCAAGTGTGTGCAGTCAATGCCCTAGATCCAAAGGACAGGAAGGTGGGGAAGGTGTCATCCTGTGATACTCGGGAGAAGATCCCATGCTTCTCCCCAGGGGAGGGGGGCTGGGCAGGTCCTCTTGCTTCTTGGCTGACTTGGGAATAGTGGAGATCAGTCCTAGAGGATGGTGCCTTCAGGGATGGGTTTCATGTGTTTGCTGAGGAAAAGACTTGTCAGCCAGGTTGATGTTGCAGCGTTATTGAACTAGAACCAGTAGAAATGAATGTGCTGGGTAGCAGCGGCTCAGAGCCCTAGTCAGGAGAGTCCCACTTGGAATTTCTCCCCAGAGGGAGCGCTGACCTGGCAGACCACTGCGCTTCTCTCCATCCTGCTTGGGGAGCGGGGAAGGGCGCTCTGACTGGAGCCGCCCCTCCCTCCAGGTGCCCTCACTTTGCTCCTATGTACAATTATAAATTTGACATTGTTTACCTCTCCTAGAAAAACTGTATCCTTTAACCTCCTCACTGCTGAGCAGCCTGCACGCAGTATTCAGTCAGCCCGCGGTCAGATGGGGTGTGAGCAGATCTTCACTCCTGCAGCCTCTGCGGAAAGGGTGGCTCCGGGAAGTCCTCAGCCGCACCTGTGCCCCGTGTTGTGTCTGTTCTCTTCATCACTGTGCTGGAGCAGCACGTTTCTGGGGCCTCCTGTCCCTGCAAACTTCCGAGCTGCACACACGACTCGGTCTTGGAGCATTTCTAGTTAACTCTTCTGGGACATGGTGGAAACAAACTGTCAAATGCTAGGCTTAAAGAAAGGAAATAGAGTTTGTAAGGTTGGAACTTGTTTAGATTTGCTTCTGAGCCTTAAGATCATTTTAAATCATGGGTTTAAGCACCATAAACTTTAGTTGGAGAATGGGACTTCTGGTTAATAAAATATTCATAAATGAGGACAGTTCATTTCAGCAATTGTAACAGTAATACAGGTATGCCAAATAAATGTACTCTTGATTCGGAAGCTATTGCAGGGTGTGGCGTTGCTTCAGGGTCATCGGTGTTGCATCCCAGCCGGTATTCTGCACCGTCCAGAAGGACCTTAGCAGCGTTGCGAGTGGCCGGAATGCCGAGAGGCACAGATGTTTCTGGGAGCTGATGGCCGGGTGTGCCCACCTGCCTCCATTTTGACGAGCTATTTTTCACAGTGGCTACTGTTTTTGGAACTCTGTTATGAAAGCAATTTTCTGAGATCTGGAGAAATCACTTTGGTTAGGCTGACTGTCCTTCAGAGAAATTAATATTTAGAAGCTAGAAAGGACAATGTGGTACTCACCTTACGTTCCTTAGGGTGCATGTTTGAACTCCCTCACATCCTGGGTCTGTTAGCGGGAACAGGCAGACACTGGTGCTGCACTCACTGGGGGAGGGGGTGCAAGCGGACTCCGCAGAGGGCCCTCTGGCGAGTGCAAGCCATGCCTGGTTGGCTGTTAGCCGTGCACAGGCCGCCTGGGGTGTGGGTCTGTGCTCAACACCTCTCCTCTGCAGTCCGCCTCTGACCATCGCTGGAGAACCCAGCTCTGTTCGCTTGGCAAAATAAGTGTGAATATTTTGTGCTGGTTGACAGAATTTTGTCTTAAAACATATGCTTCAGATTCTTTAAAACTTGTTTAACGTTTATACCAAAGGTCATGCTCTGCAGGTGTGTGTGTGGTGGGTGCGCAGAGGGTGAGGTCTGAGGGCCTGGCACTGCGCGTTGCTAAGGGGATGAGACAACGTGGGGTTTAACTGAAAACATGTCAGTCATGGGTCACACTGCCAGTGTTGTCAGGTATTTGTTCTTGTTAGTGTAATATATTTTCAGGTGTTTTGTTTTTCTAATTTAATTCTCTCACCCTGTTGTCTGACTGTGAACTGCTAACAGTGTTAAACTTGATGTAAATAAATGAGGCCCTTGAAAGGGGAATGCTGTCCGCCTGTTGTCTCACAAGGCTTGCCAACTTGTGTTGTATTTTAAATAAAGGTTGCAATATTTTATTGGCAAAGTAGGCTCTTTTGATTGGAGTGTTTCTCCCATGGTTCTGACAGAATCTGAGCAGGCTCTGTCTCTGTGTGGAGTAGATGTCTAAGGTGGGGAAGCTGATGTTAGCAGTCATCCCTCCAGTACGTTCTTTAGAATGTCCTCTGTAGGGGTGGATGCTCACCCTTGGATGGATCATGTTTTTGGAAATGACCAAAGGCATCATCTGCAGCCCAGCTGGTACATAAGGTAAGTAATTATGCATGTGTGTGTCTGTGTGTCTGTCTGTCCGTCCGTCCGTCCGTCCAATGTGAGGTGGCTGTAGAAAGAGACTTAATTCTCTCCGAGTCCATTTTGAGGACAATTGCAAGTAAGTTCCAAAAATGTTTGGAGCCAAAGTAGCATTGAAAGAGGAAGTACAAAACCTCACAGGGAACATTCTATTCTTGTTTGACTTGGTCTTCAAGTGTTTTTAATAATGAGTCATTGCCTTAGAGTGGTTTTCATCAGGTGTGAGCAGGATGCACTCAAGTGTGCCCGTGAGGTCGTTCGAGGGGCTGGTAAACATCAGCTTGTAACCCCCTCAGCCACCTGCCCTCCGTTTCTCCCACCTGTTTTGGTTTAGTTCAGGTGAGTCTTGTTGCCGTCTTTAGGTAAGACACCTGTTGTATTCTTGTGCCCTTTGTATCACTGTGACGTTCTCCACACGAGGCTGCGGCCTGTGCTGAGGAAGTGTTCTCTCTCTGCAGAGGAAATCTGGAAAGTGTTTTAGAAGGTCATCAGACACAGGAGCTTGGAGTCAGGCTGCCTGGGGCGAACCCCCTCTCCTGACCAGCGCTTCATACTTTGCCTGGTAATTCACCTCTTGGAGCCCCGTTCCCTCATTTATTAAAGGGTGATGGGCGTGGGACCGATGTCAGTGTTCAAGATCACACAGGATGTGGCTCTCCAGTGCCTAGCACAGGGCACGGCACATGGTGAGTTCCAGGTGTTGTCTCTTAACCAGGGTTCGAGGAACTGGAACGGAGGGGAAGGCCCAGCCTTGCCTTGGAGTATGGTGTCAAAACTGACCTCAGTTTCCAAGAGTTTCTGTTGTTCTGTTACGTGAACACTGGATCGAGATGAACTGAGTTAATCCTACAGAAGCCCTGTGAGGTAAGTACAGTTGTGCTCCCTTGTACAGAAGTGGAACCAAAGTCAGACAGGGTCATAGCTTTCCTGTCGCTGCACATGGTAGCGGCTGAGCCGGGGCACCCAGCCCCAGAGAAGTGCTTGGAACCATGTCCCCTGTTCACCTTGGTTCCCCAGGCTGGGAGAGGGTTGGACCTGTGTTGGTGACATCAGACGTGCTGGCCAGTGCTGAACAGATGCTGACGGTCTGTGACTCTGGGAAGGTGCCTCTTAAAACGTGTCTTAGAGCTGGGTACGGAGTAGGATCAGGCGCCTGCCGCCTTCCCCCCAAGACACTCTGGCCTGACAGGAGGGCGCCGGTCCGTTGACGGGGCTCCCTCGCCGAGGCGGCTGTTTGAGTGAGCGCTGTGAAGTGTCCCATGGGGGACACAGAAGTGTGCACTTCACCTGGGCTCAGAGGGCTTTAAATCGGGACATTGGAGGCGATGACAGGTACAGCCTGTGTGTAATTCAGAATTGTGAGGGGAAGAAGCACGTGAGCACCTCCTGAGTGGCTGGAGCACAGTGCACGTGTGCATAAGGGGCCAGGAACACGGGAAGGACGTGTCCACACACGAGCAGTGTGCTGTGGGAGGGTCTTCAGTGTGAGGCAGAAAGGCCCAGCCCGTGACTGTCCTGTCCTGTCCGTCAGCTGGGGGAGTGCCCAGTGCCCACGTGCCCAGCCCCGCAGCCTCATCTGCATTTGGAGTTTTGCTGAGGGAACAGGATTACTAGGTCATTAAGAAAGGAGGCTGAAGGGTTTAGAAAAATAAAAACTTTAATATTTACATGTGGCACAGGGATGTCAGGCCCTAACTTTAAAAACATGTTTAATTCTTCTGTGTACCTTGTTTTCAGCCCGAGGCTCTTCCCGATCTGCTCACAGATACTAGCTGCACAGCTTCCCTCTGGGGATGACAACCTGAAAGCCAGCCCACCCGCCTGCCGGTAAGCAGAACTCCTGTCCCCTTCCCTGTCCCCTTCCCGTCACGGGGGCCCTGCAGCCTCAGGCCCCACACCCCAGTCCAGGCAAGAGCTGAGATGCCAAGCAGTCGGGGGATGTGTTTCTTTCCCGTGTGGCTTTCGAAGGCACCAAGTGATTTTAAATTGGCTCTGGCTTCTGAGTTAAGGCCTTCCTGGTAAACAGGGTGTGAGAGGGAGCGAGCGCGGCCGACCCCAGGTCCTGCTGGTGCGAGGCAGGCAGTGGCATCCTGCTCTCAAGGCAGGAAGTAGTTGATCCTCTGGGACACAGATTTGCACCCCTGAGAAGAGAAGAGTTGCTCCTCCTTGGGGACATACACCATCATCTTGGCGATCTCGTCCAGCGCCTCCTGCGTGTACGGGAGCCCCTGGCTCAGGAAAGCGTCGCGGGCGCACAGCCTCACGTGGCGGGACTCCAGCGGCAGGAAGGGGACGAAGGAGTCAATCAGCTTTTCTTTCACAAGGCGGCTGTGGCCAAAGCCACTGTCTGAAATGAAGACCAAAAGTTTCGTGGGGGTCTGAGCCCCCAGCCTGGGCAGGGTCTGCCGTCAGTGCCAGGCCTGGTGCGGGGGGGCACGGGAGTGGGGAGGGGCCGGCCGGCTGGTCGGGTCAGTGGCCGCAGGGAAAGCCGCCCTCCCTCTGACTGGAGGCCTTGCCCTAGGGCCACGGGCTTGCAGGCCACATGGCCTGCTGCTGTCTCCAGGCCTGGGGCAGTCTGCCCTTTTCAAAGCATTTTCAGAAAAGGAATGCAGCTATCTTGGCCCTTTTCTTGTGCTTCCCTGAAGTTGATGACAGGTCATTTGGTCCCTGTCCACCTCAAAAGCACATTCTAACCCTACGGCTTACTTTCTGTGGCTGGGAGTCAGTTACCTGTGGACGCCACAATCTCGGCCTGGAGGCGGGCCTCCAAGTGTTCCTTCGCGATTTCTTCCCGGGACCACCCGGCCTGGAGCAGGCCCAGGACCACCTCGTTGATGGCATTGCCTCCGAGGTTACTGAAAGAGACAAGAGCTTGTTAACAGATTTCTTTTCTTTTTATTTTTTTCTATATGTTTTTGAATTTTTTAGAGAGAGAAACATGGATCGGCTGCCTCCTGCACGCCCCACTGGGGATCAAGTCTGCAACCCAGGTATAAGCCCTGACCTCTCAGTTCCTGGGGTGACACTTGATCCACTGAGTCACACTGGCCAGCAACAGATGTCATGTTTAGGTTTCAAACCTGACACTGACAGAGTCTCCCCTCCCCCAGATCTTGTCACAACACAAGGTCTACGCAGAAAACATTGTCCTACTTGGCCACCCAGTCTCCCTTTGACACACGCTGAGACTGCTGGGTGCAGGGAGCCCAGCGCACATCTTTCCGTGGACTTCCACGTGGATGAGACCCGGGGCGGCCCAGGCCCAGGGAGAAGCCGTCAGAGGGGGATGGGGCAGGCAGATGTGCTCGAGGCTGCCTGGAGGGGCTGGCGTGCAGCCATGAAGGGTGGGCCGCGGCCGGTATGAGGCCTTTGTCTGGGGCATGTGGATTTTAGCTTATGGCCATGGAGAACAGGTTTCAGACTTGGAAGTGTAGGTGGTGGAGTGACCCGGTCGTTTTACTTCCTGAGAATATCGTTCTAGGTCACAGAGGTGGGACTGGAGAGGCAGGGGATGGTTGCAGAAAGCTAGTGAGGGAGCTTCGTAATAGTCCCCGTCTAGAGAGGGGAGGGAGAGAAGGGTTTAAGAATCAGTTTAGGCCCTGCCCTGGTGTCTCGGTTTGTTGGAGCGTCATCCCATACACCAAGAGGTCATGGGTTCAGTTCCCGGTTGAGGCACGTATGGGAACAACAGATGTTTCTCCTTCCCTCTCTCTAAAATACATACCTATCCTCAGATGAGGGTTTAAAAAACAAATCAGGTAGGTGTCACAGGTGACGGGCCGTGGCGGACGGCTGTGGGGGGAGGACTTCATCACAGAGCACGTGTTTGCCATGAGCTGCCCCTCACAAGTGGGGCACAGGTGGGTGGAGACGGAAGCTTGGACTTACTGTGCTGTGATTTCTCTAGGGGTTGTGACATCATTAGGCAACTAGGGCTTTGGGTCTGAAGCACAGGAGAGGACTGGGTTAGAGAGATGAGGGGCGAGAAGAAATCTTAGTGCCACCAACAGGGACACTGGGGGGGGGAGGCGGCGGGGCCTGGAATGGGCCGTGCTGCCTCCTCCCCGCCTCTCTGACGCTCTCAGGGACGTTACCCAAGTGTCTGATAGTTTGACTGCATCCTGTGTGCCAGGCTCCAGGGCACAGAGAAGCTGAGTGGCTCTGGGACTGCCCCGTCCAGCCAGTGACACTGCCAGCTGCCCCTCTCCCCCCAAGGCCGGCCAGGGAGGTCACTCTGCACAAGTACCAGCTGAGGTCAGACCTGCTCCTGGATTGCCCCATCCTTATGCCCCAGGTTTACACAGGCTGGAGGGCTGGCATCCAGGGCACGGCGGGGCCAGGAGCATGGACTCCAGTGCTTAGCACATAGCCGGTGGTCAGTAAATGTCTTTTTTTAAATTCCTCACCTGAAGATATTTTTCCATTTATCATTAGATAGAGTGGGAGGGGGGCAGAGCATGCGCCACATCGACCGGTTGCCTCCGGCACGACCTGGATGGGGAGGAACCGAAATCAAGGTCCGTGCCCTCAACCGGAATCGAACCCTTGACTCATTGGTCCACGGGTCGACACTCTAATCCTTGGTTCTCAACGTTCCTAATGCCATGACCCTTTAATACAGTTCCTCATGTTGTGGTGACTCCCAACCATAAAGTTACTTTTACCTACTTCATAACTGTAATTTTGCTACTGTTACGAATCGCCATCCGAAGTATGTGTTTTCCGATGGTCTTAGGCAACCCCTGTGAAAGGGTCATTCGACCCCCCAAGGGGTCACCACCCACAGGTTGAGAACTGCCGCTCTAACCACTGAGCAAAACCGGCCAGGGCAGTAAATGTTTCTTAAGTGAGCAGACATCTCTGTACCTTTGTCTCCACTTCCCTTGTTTTGCCCCACAGCCAACATCTCTCCTTTCATGTTACAGGTATTCTCTCCCCACCACCACGGAACCTGGGCCGTCTGTTCATCCCCTCGCCCTTGGGGACTGTCGGCGCCAGCCTTTGGCAGAGGTTACCTGTTGACCGGGAGGTCAGCGGGGCAGAAATCATCTCTGGAGACTGGCCCTCTCCCCAGGCTCGGGGATAGGATGATAAGTAATCTCGCTGCCCAGAGGCCTTCCCGGAGCGACTGCCACACCTGACCTGCTGTCTCTCCAGAACAGATAGAAACCTGACTCAGGCATTAATCTGTTTTCCTTATTTGGAAAGTCAGAGACTTGGACTGGACAGAGAAGATTTCCTCCCTCCTCGGGTTCCAGGGTCACGCAACATACAGGCATTTCTAGGGCGTTTCCACGCCCTGGGGTATGCAATCTTTCTCCTCTTTCCCTGACAACAGCCCAGAGAGAACAGCCACTAATGTCTGTCTCCATTTTACAGCCTCAGTGAGAAGAGGGCGTCGCTTTGCCCTCCGGAGCCTGTGGCCCTGTCCTGCCTGTGGCCACCCGGAGCCTCCACGCGGTGGAAAGGGGTGAAAGCAGTTTCCTGGCCCCGATGGAGACTGAGCTGGGCGCTCCAGCTCCCCTCACACTGCGCGCTTCAGCTGCCGCCGCACCGGGCAGGCCCGCAGACCCCAGCACCTTCCCCGCAGCAGGTTTAGGAAAGCTTTCAGGATGAAACTAGTGATTTTCTTTCAGACACCAGAATCCCTACCACTCGTTACAGAAATCAAGCCCAGAAACTTGTTAGAAAACCACAGCGTCACTGCTGAGAGCCCTCGGCACGGAGCTGGACTTGGTTCCCGACCTGGCCGCCGGCTCAGCCTTCAGGAGCGCAGCCTCGGGCGTCCTGGTCGGTCCCAGGGAGGGCAAGTCACACAGGCCCCTCCCCTAGCAAAGGAAGCTAGTCCTGCCGCTCAGTCCTTTCTTTGCCAGTAACTCCCACGCCCAGTCTAGTTTCTGCCTGAAAACACACTTCTATTTATCAGATGAGATGCTGCCTGGTTCAGGAATTGCTCAATAAAGTCAATGAGGTCATCAAATGTATTCAATTGGATTTTTGTTCTTTAACATATTCAAATACATTGTCTTTGCCACCCATCACTAAATAACTGAAAATCGTCAAGGTTTAAAGGGTGGGGATGGCACTGGCCCTGGGGTGGTGGGCCCTGCACCCCCTCCCCGACAGCCAGCTTGCACTCGCCATCCTGGGGTGCAAGGCCCCCAGGGTGGCTTCTCCCAGCCTGCCTCCTCCATTCGCGGCCCAAGTGGTGACCTCGGACAGTGCACAGAGTCTGGGTCACTGGGGCAAAGGGCAGAGCTACAGCAGGGTGTTGAGACTGAAATGTTTCAAAGGCAAACTTTGTCTCGAGCTAGAGCAGGGTCACCTGGTCACATTAGGGAACCCTGGCACCAGTGCTGAGGACTGGCCCAGGCCCATGTGGGGGAAGGGTCAGTGTCAGCCTCGGGGACGGGAGGAGAAGCTGCGCACTAAGGGCATTTCTGCAGAAGTGAAAGAATGCCGAGTGGGCTGGTCACCAGGCTCCCCTCCAGTCAGTGCGCAGCAGTTCAGAGGGCCCCCTGGACTCCCACTGCCTGGCAGGGCTGAGGATACGGTGACGCCTTCCTCGGCCGCCCTTGCCTTTGGGGCCTCCACCTAATTCACTGCAACCAGGAGCTGTGTGCCTCCAGGCCACCTCCGAAGGTGGCCGGTCACACAGACGCTCTCTGCTTCTCTCTCAAACCACCTTGGGACGTCCTCCCTGCCCCGTGCCCCCGAGCCGGAGCCCCTCGGCCTCCCTGCCCCGTGCCCCCGAGCCGGAGCCCCTCGGCCTCCCTGCCCCGTGCCCCCGAGCCGGAGCCCCTCGGCCTCCCTGCCCCGTGCCCCGGAGCCGGAGTCCCACGGCCTCCCTGCCCCGTGCCCCGGAGCCGGCCTCCCTGCCCCGTGCCCCTGGAGCCGGCCTCCCTGCCCCGTGCCCCTGGAGCCGGCCTCCCTGCCCCGTGCCCCTGGAGCCGGAGCCCCACGGCCTTCGCTTACAGACCGGGAAGGACTTGACTTCCCTGCACCAAAATCTCACAGTTTAAACCAGTGGCCTCTCATCTTGTGGGTCCACATGAAACAGGATCTGCCCCTCACAGCTCATCCTTCCCACTCGCCAATCCTGGAAGGAAAACCAGACCCTATTTCTCCATCCTCACAGAGTGTTCCCTAAGCTGGGGGAGGGGACAGCTGGTCTGCCTTCCACTCTCAGTGCAAGAAGCTGCTTGTGAAGCATTCAAGCTGGGCCAACAGGAAGTGAAACAAATCGGGAGGAAGAAGCTAAGAACCATGATTCCACTCACGTGGGATATAAACCTGAAACTCATGGGCACACACAGCAGTGTGGTGGTTGCCAGAGAGAAGGAGGTGAACGGGGCCTCGTGTGGTGACAGGTGACATGACTTTGGGTGGTGAGCACACAATGCAATATACAGATCTTCTAACACAGAAACCCACACCCGAAACCTATATGATCCTATTAACCAATGTCATCCCAACATACTTAATTTAAAAAGTTGGGGCAAGAGGGACCCAGACTTGACTTGAACAGACCTTGGGCAGCACATTCCCAGTTGGAGCCTCCATAAAATAAGAGGTCTGGACAAGTTGATCTCTAGGTCTGCTTAGTGCACAGCCAATCCCAGAGCCTGGCAGGAAGGGTCCTGCCTGGGGGGGTGCAAACCGGGAGCCATGGAACACTCTTCACTCAGCACATTATCCCCACTTTCCAGCCAGTGACTTCCTCTTGTGACTTGAGAATTTTAAAAAGACCTCCCCAGGTTGGGGAGAGAACGCACTAGGTTGGACTTAGTGGGAAACTACCTTCCACTGGGTCTACATTAAGAATTTTCCAGGGTAGTTTGCATTTGATTTTCAACTAATTTGCTGACTTGAAAACATAATGCCCTTCTAAGAGGGGACTCCCAGTGTGTGAGCTAGATTTCAAGCTGTATTACAAAGCTACAGTGATCAAAACAGTATGATAATTGGCATAAAAATAGGCACATAAATAAATGGAACAGAATAGAGAACCCAGAAGTAAAGCCATGCATATATGGTCAATTAATATATGACAAAGGAACCAAGAATAAACAATGGCGAAGAGACAATCTCTTCAATAAATAGTGCTGGGGAAACTGGGTAATCACATGCAAAAATAGGCAACTAGACCACTATCTTATACCATACACAAAAATGGGCTCGAAATGGATTAAATACTTGAACGTAAGATCTAAAACTCCAAGCAGAAAACATAGTAAGCGCCTTAATATTGGCCTTGGTGACGATTTTTTGGATCGGACACCAAAAGCAAATACAATGAGCAAAAGGAAATGGGACTATGTCCAAATGAAAAGCTTCTGTACAACAAAGGAAACCATCAATAGAAGGAAAAGGCAACCTACTGAAGGGGAGAAAATACTTGCAAGTCACATTATCTGATCAGGGGTTAGTATCCAAAATACACTGAGAACTCATAACTCAATAGCAAAAAGAACCAAGCAACCAGATTATAAAATGGGCAGGGGATCTGAATAGATATTTTCCCAAAGAGGACATACCAGTGGCCAATAGGTACATGAAAAGACACACAACATCACTAATCATCAGGGAAATGTATGATGAGACATCACCTCACACCTGCTACAGTGGCTACTACCAAAAAGATGAGGCAAATGCTGGTGAGGATGTGGGGAAGAGGGGACACTTGGGCACTTGGCAGGGTAGGGGTGTAAACTGGTGTGCTCACTCTGGAGAACAGTGTGGAGGGGCCTCAAAACATTAAAAGTAGAACCTCCATAGGATCCAGCAACTCCACTTCTGGGTATTTATCCTAAGAAAATGAAAACTAACTGGAAAAGATATGTGCACCCGTGTTAATTGCAGCATTATTTACAACAGCTGAGATATGGAAACAACCTGTTTCCATCGACAGACGAACTAATGAATAAGTCAAATGTGGCCTGTACACGATGGAATTGCTACTCTTCAGCCACAGAAAACCACCACCACCACCAAACTCTTGCCATTTGCCACAACATGGATGGGCCTTGAGGGCATCACACTAAGGGAAGTAGGTCAGGCCAAGAGAGACCAACAGTATATAGTGTCCCTTAAATGTTGAATCTAAAACAAACAAACCCAAGCTCATAGATACCAAGACCAGACTGGTGGCTGCCAGAGGTGAGGGGTGGGGGTGGGGAGGATGGGTGAGGAGGACCAGAGAGTACCAGTTTCCAGCTATAAAAATAAGCCCCAGGGATGTATCATACAGCATGGTGACTGCAGTTAATAATGCTACGGAATTGCAGATTGGAAAGCTGCTAAGAGATCTCACAAGTTCTCATCACAAGAAAAAAGTTTTGTAACTACATACGACGACAGATGTCAGACTTCCTGTGGTGGCCAGTTCATGACATGGGCAGACCTCCAGACCACCATAATGGAGTACATATCTCCATAAAGTGAGTTGTCATCTTTGGCTGGTGGAGAGTCCTGCCTTCAATTTGTGAAAGAGACACCAGCACGTGAAGCACAGTGCGCGGCAATCACAGGAGGGGCCGTGGGTACAGACGGCCCATCTGCTGCTCTAAGTCAGCCGTACCTCGATGAAAACAAAGCCACCACCTTACAGCCCTTCTTAGAGGGGACTCCAGGTGTGAGCAGTCCCTCGCTGGGGAGGCTATGTGCAGACAGGGGTCTGAGGGGAGCCCCATCCTGAGAACCACGGGGGAGGCCAGCTGCTGTTCCCCAGGCCGGTCCTCAGAGTGAGTCGTTGCCGGCGGGGCCACTGTGGCGAGGAGGAATCAGAGGGTTTCAGAAGTGCCCTGGGGACAGAATCAGGGCAGGAGCCAGAGACCTGAGGCCCCCCACCCTGCGACACCCCAAGGGGTTAGGCTTCCAGGTTCCATGGAGTCGCGTTGGCTTCCCTTGCGGGAGAGTCTGCAGCCCAAGAGAGCTCGGAAGCCCTCACCCCCAGCCACATCCCCCCCCCTCCGGCCACACACACACCCCCGGCCAGGCCTGGTGCAGGCAGCACCGGACAGAGGTCCTTCCTCCCCTGGCCCAGCCGTTTTCCTCAGGCCTTACCTGAGAAAAAGAAAGATGGTCCTCGAGGGCGCAGCCCTGTGGTCCTGCGGGGCCTGGCGTTCCAGGTGCGGCCCCAGGGCCTCCAGCAGGCCAGGGTGCAGCTTCTCGGCCTCATCGAAGATGAACAGGGCCTGGCGGCATTGCTCCTGCGTCGCCCTCACCTGGTCGGCCAGCTGCTCCTGCAGGACACAGAGCTGCTGGGGAGCCCTGGGAGGCGCAGCCAGCCAGGGGGCCCCGGGAGGCGCTACTTCCCAGGGGTCTGCAGTGGGTCCCGGGGGCTGGGTTCTGCCCTGGAACTCCAAACTCAAACCTGGGGGGGGGGGCAGCTGCCTCTAACTAGCTACCCATGTGAATCTCCTGCACCCCGAGGTTTGAAAGCCAACAGCATGGAGCCAGCCCAGGAGAGGGAGGGCCTGCCTGCCTTTGGGAACAGGCCCAGGCCCTGCTCCCTCCTCTCCGGGAAGAAGCCCCAGAACTAACAGCCAACTCACCCTCCCCGGGGTCACAGGTAGAGACAGGCTCAAGTGCCCAGAGGTGGCCACAGTGCCACCTTGAACTTCTAGGAGCAGAGCACCCACTGTGCTAACTCGGGGAGAACTGTATGCGACGAGCCAACTCTGAACGGGGGCTCTCCATCACAGCAAGATAGCTCTCGGCTGAACACAGGCTGCTTTGTGGGGTTCACCAGATCGGGCAGGTGTTTTAGCAGAGCCCACACCCACTGCCTCCAGCCTTTCCGGATTCTGACGACAGTCCCGAGTGTGTGTGACAAGACCTATGTGCTTTGAGAGAGTGTACGTGTCACTTTTCATGACGGGGAATCTGAGACCCAGTTTTGCGACAGTCAGAACCAGCTGGTTCTTTCCACAGCTCACCCTACCCTGCCCTCTAAGGCCACCTTGAAACTGCAGGTGACTCAGCACATCTCCGCCCTGAGGCGCGCGCCCAATCTCCCAGGTTGTCGCACTCTGAACGCTGGAGCCAGAGCCAGACAGGCGCCGTCTGCCAGGCCACCGCCGCGGGCTTGGGGTCATTGTCCAGCCTACTTTTATGGAAGAAATCCAAAGCGGCAGAGCAGCCAAGTCCCCCACATGTAAGCGATCTGGAGAAAATCACGTAGGATGTGACAGGCCTCTTCAGAAACACTGGACATGCAGCTTTCTGTCCCCTATAATTACAGTGACGCCAAACAGCCCGGGGAAAGGCTTGCAAGAAGAATGCCAGCTATGCTAACTGCCGTGAGAGGGGAGATCATGAGGGAGGTTTTCCTTCCCCCACTCTGTACTTTCTGCGACATCTCCCCTGCTTCTGTAGCAGGACTGCCACACGGCCCTCTGTTCAGCTGTGTGTGGCCAGGCAGAGCTCGGGACCAGTGCTGTCTGGGACATGTCTTTCCTTCACACGTGCAGGGCCCCGACTGTGCGCAGTGATGTCTCTGAGGGTTACAGGTTCTGACGAAATGGCCCGCGGCCCCCACACCCCACACCCCGGCTTCTGCAGGGCCCAGCGCCCAGCGCAGAGGGCTGCCCCTGGGCTGTCCCAGCCCCGTTCCAGCCCAGCACTGCCAGGCCTCACCTTGTACAGGTCCACGTACTTGGGGTGAGGAAAGTGGAACAGGGTGATGAACACCTTGACACAGTCGCTCTTCAGCCCGTCGCGGTACAGGTTCTCTGCCAGCAGCCTGGCCACAAAGTTCTTGCCTGTGCCGGACCAGCCGTGGAAGGACAGAGCCAGGGCCTTGTTGGGCTGGGGCAGCTCTAAGTAGCCCCTCACTGTGGTCAGGACCAGCTCCCGGGCCAGGTGCTGGCCATGCAGTCGCACGCTCAGGTCTGACCGCAGGCCTGGAGTGGGGAAGAGAAGGCGACAGTGAGGGGCACACAGGTGCGGTCCCCACCAGGCTCAGCAACAGTCGAGCGAGCACAGTGGAGAGTGAGCACCTCCAAACACCGCTGAGGCCGCCTCACTTTGGCCTCAGAACGAGCCGGTGGGCAGGCCTGGCAGCAGAAGGGATCCAAGGGCTATTTTCTGAAGAATCTGAGAAATCACTATTGAACTTAGGGAGAGAACGGAGTCACCCTTTCTGAAGGTCCCGAAGACCCGCCAGCATGGTTGGCAGAGTCTGGTCTGGAGGAGGAACCTGGTCCCCCATGCCCATGAGGTTGTTCCCATGTGGAAGTTTCAGGACTCCCTAAATATTTCATCGAAATACCCTGGTTTTATTCATTTTAATCCAATCAGCAAACACCTGTCGAGGACAGCTAGTGTGTGCCCTCCTCTGCCAGGTCTTCCTTGCTGGCAGCCATGAGGCTGCAGGTTTGGAGACAGGGGCTCCTGGGAGCCATGGCGGGACAGGAGGGTGTGCCGGCTATGGGCAGGATGATGACAAGTCCCTTGCACCCTCGCCATTTCCCCCACACTGCTCCCCTTCCCACAGATCCCTAGCCCCTCAGGGGCACACAAGGGCCAACCTGTGAAGTTGTTGGAGACCCTGCAGTCCCCGTGGTCACTGCACTCCTGGAACCTGCAGAACCACGTGGTCAGGATATCCAGATACTGGCGGCCCAGCAGGGGAAGGCTCCAGGCTGCAAACCGAGGAGTGAGATCGTGAGATAGTGAGATAGGATCGGAGCCTGGGGCCAGGAGGAAGCTGGTCTCCCTGCTCCCCCGCTCTCCCTGCCCCTGGCGGCTCTTCCAGTTCCTCCGGTCCTCTGCCCTCCCCGGAGCCACTCCTCACTGCCCTTTCCTGGGCCTCCCTCGAGCTCTGCCAAGGAGCGGGCACGGGTGGACACCCCTGGCTTCACGGAGCGATGGCTCTGCTGTCGATGCAGCCCTCGCAGAGGCTCAGTTCACCCCGCAGCCGCCCAGAGCCCAGACCAGCCGCGGGAAGTCGCCGAGGCCGCGGGGGCTGGGGGCTCTCATCCTTCCTGCTGGCTCTGGGTTCCAAACCTGACCACAACCAAACCCAAAGGCCTCTAAATTCTGTGTCAAATGCCAATTTTAGTATACCCAGAATTGGCAAAAACGAAACAAAAGCCACTTGCTGGAAGTTAGAAATCTTTTGATTTAAAGAAAGGCCTTCTGAGCCCCAGGACAGGGTGAGCAGCCCGGAACCAGTACTGGATCTAGAATTATCACCAGAAACCACAAGAAGCCCCAGAGAGCCTCTGGTCCATGACAGTGACCTGCCCACCCCGCCACACAATGTCAGTGCCACAGCGGAACCAGAACTCGGGCCCGGGCCTCCCAGCCCAGGCGCCGCCTCCTTAAGCAACACAAGAGGAGGAAAAGGGACTTGGGCTTGTCCAACCGGGACTCGAAGCCAGCAAGGTGTGAGCTGTCCGGAGTCGGAGCCGCAGAGGGGAGCCCGGCCCATGCGGCGCCGCCAGCGATCGGGGTGGGGGCTGGGCGGCGCACCTCCAGGGTGGTCCTGAGATCAGCCCGGGACAGGGCCGTGCACGTCCCGCCCCAGGTCTTACCCAGGGGCCCGGCGGGGGCCTCCTCGTCCAGCGAGCAGGTCTCGGGCCACACCCGGCAGCGGAAGAGCGCCCAGTACCGCAGGAAGAGGGCGCCGGCCGTCCGCAGCGGCTCCCGCAGGTCCTGGAAGGGCGGCCAGGCCCGCCCCGAGCCCGGCCCCTCGGCCGCCCCCCGGGGCCCCTCGGCCGCCTCCCCGGGCCCGGCCGGGTCGCCGCGCCCCAGCGCGCCCGCGAGCGGCAGCAGCAGGACCCAGAGGCAGAGGGGGCGCCGCGCGCGCATGTCCGGCCTCCGCGATGCCGCGTCGGGGACTGGGCGGGGGACAGGCGGCGCCCGCTTACTTCCGCGCCCGTCCGGCCGGGATTGGCGTTGCCACGGGAACCACAGCCCCACGTGACGCGGGGCTAGGAGGTGCCCGGAACCGAAACCCAGGCCGGCCCGGAGGGCATCCCGAGGCCGGTGCAGACGCCGCCCAGGGGACGGGCAGGCCACCCTGCAGTCTCCATTCTGGGCTGATCGTGGGTGCGGAGGTGGGGTCAGGCCTCGAAATGGCCACTGTCATCACCTATTCCTTTTGGGCAGCTCTGGTCGCGCATACGAGGCCTACCAAATGCAGGCACTGTTGTGCCTGCCCCGCATCTGAGGATCAACTTCCTGCCAGCCCCCTTGCCCAGGGGCCCGGGCTGGCCAGCAGGGTCACCTGCATGGAGACGAGGCCCTGGGAGGGAGAATGAAACCTGGCAGCTGGTCACCAGCAGATGTCCCCAGCTGGGGATCACAAGAAGCAAGAGGAAGCTGTGGACTCCCTTCTGCAGATGTGGGTTTGGGGAACTCCCAGAGTCATGGGAAAATCATAATCGTGTCGATGTAGTCGTATCTCATTAAAAAGAAGTACTATGTGCACTTACTCGGCTGCTGGCAATTTTTAAGCGCTTGTGACCATGAGCAAGCGGCTTCTGAGGCCACTGGCGAAAGACCTGAGGGCCTTCTCCTGGCTCCCTTCCCCATCACATGTGCCTGCAGCCAGTTTGTTAGATTTCAGAAGAGCTCAATGCATTTTCCTGTCACCTGACTTACTGAAATCACTGGCCTAAGAGTCACCTTGTCCTAGGAGGAAACTGCTGTCTAGAGTCCATGGGACTTGGCGACTGTCACAGGCTCAGTGGCCCTGAGGCTGGGCTATCCGACAGTCAAGTGGATCCTAGTGCCGTGTATCACCGTGTCACAAGCAAATTGATTCACCTGTTCATCCCGGTCTGTGTCCCTTCCTCAGGAGCTCACCAGATCTGCTCCTTCCATTCACTCAGCCACAGAAATCGGGTAGAGCACTTTCGTTAGGAGATGAGAGTTCAACTACACACAGGACTGTCATCCAAGGTAGCCACTCAGAGTGGCGTCGAAATGGAACCCAAGCGCTTCAGAGAGAAGTGGCCAGTCCACAGGTACCACATCATGTCCAGTCCAGCTCATGAAACCCTTCAGGGGACAGTTACCAGGGAACACGCCATTATATACTTAGTTGGAAATTTAAAACATTAATTCATTCAGTAAATGTTTGAGCATGAATGACAATCTAGTATGTGGTTAGCTGAATGGCCCCTTACCATTTTCTTGGGTGCTACTTAACTGGCCCGTGCCTCAGTTTCCCCACCTATAAAATGGGATAACCTAAAATAGTTACTTTACAGGGATGCTGTGAAGGTTAATGGGCTCATTCAGTTACATGTTAACTTTATGACCCGTACACCTTGCCCGGAGGAGGGTCTGGATGGTGCAAACGGGAAGCCTGAATGGTTTTATTTATACCAGTGAGGTTTATAGGGGAATTTATAGTGATAAAATTACTAGAAATAACATTAATTTCTTTTTAAAATCCAAATTTTAAGACTGCGAAAATAATTGTCTGTTTATTGTAACTTTCATGTAGCACTAAATGCTAATTTCTGACATATTTTTATTTGAATTTAGCATCTCATGGTAAAGAAAGTAGATAGCTGGAAAATTCTTGGACAAGCAACTTGATTTCAAGAAGGCATTTTCTTTTCTTCTGGTACATGCCCCTAGTAGGAACCGAACCCAGGACTCTCTGGTCCGCAGGCTAATGCTCCAACCGTTTGGCCAGGGCTTTTTTTTTTTTTTAATCTTCACCCCAGACATTTTTCCACGAGGACATTTTTCCATTTTTTTGTTGTTGCTGTTGTTCAGATAGAGTGGGAGGGAGAGAGAGGAAGAGAGAGAAACATGGACATGAAAGGGACACATTGAGTGGCTGCCTCCCACACAACCCCAACCAGGACCAGGGACAAACTGCCACCGAGGTACGTGCCCTTCGCGGAGCCGAACCGGGTCTCTCTAGAACACGGCCGACTCTAACCGCTGAGCCAAACTGGCCAGCGCAGGCATTTCCTTTTCTAAAAGGAGTAGAACTAAACATTTTTTCCACCAGAGTCAGTCCAACATAGAAACAACGAATCCAAATTTTAAAAAAGAAAAGAAGAAGAAACGATGAATCCAAACACTAGTTTTTAGATGGAGTTCAATAAACGCTAACATCGCATTCTCATCTTGGAGGCTATTGGTTGAGCAAATCCCATGGACAATGGGGCCATCTAACGGCGCCTGTGGGAACTACAGGCAGCAAAACCTGTCCGCGCTCCTCAAGGGTGGTCCAAGGACTGGAGGCACTGGCACACGGGGGGGCCTGTTTGAAATGTGCAATCTCAGTCCCTATGTCTACTTAATCAGAGTCTGCATTTTAATAGTCTTTTCTTTTTATTGATTTTAGAGAGAGGGAGAGAAACATCAATGAGAGAGAACATGATTGGCCGCCTCCTGCACGCCCCTCCTGGGGATTTGGCCCACAACCTAGGCCTGTGCCCTGACTGGGAATCAAACCAGGACCTCTTGGTACATGCTCACCCACTGAGCCACACCGGCCAGGCATTAACAGTCTTTCTAAGAGAAGATGGGCACCCAACATCTGCACTGTCATCTGAGTGGGACTTAACCTTTGCAGTAGACATCCCCAGCCCCGCTGAAGGCAGTCAGAAAACACCATTGGCCTTGAAACCAGTCTCAGGGTAAAAATCAAGTCTATCTCCAAATAAACTTGGCATGTAAAAAGCAAACTCTGAAAACACAGAATGAATGTTTCATCGCTGGCCTATGTGCCAGAGGCTCCTTTGTTTAGTAACATCTATGCCACAGAGCCACTGACGCATCACAGTGGACTGAGACTGTCCTCTCCAAAGACAGGCACACCTGACGGAACCACAGGAAACCCCTGAAGTGACATTTCTGGCGACCCAGATACTCACGCCGGAGCTCAGGCCCAGGAGGCTCTATGTCTGGAGTCAGGGTTCTATACACACAAGCCTGGATCAGCCCCTCTTCAATGTGGGTTCCACCCACCTCTCCCCTCCCAACCCCGTGATTCTTCCCTGGACCTTAGTTCCCTTGCCATTAACATGTCATCCTGAGGCATTTGGTTCTTCACAAGCAGCTCTCTTCTGCTAGGACTGCAGGTTCGAGGAAAGGGAGTCAGGACCATCTTGATGACATCCGCAGCTCACAGCACAATGCCCACGTGTCTGCTGAAGGAAGATCGACTACCTCACACACCAGGCCTGACCACGTTCTCCCTGGGGCTCCACAGCACTCGGCCTTACAGGCCCAGTGGCCCACTCTTGTCTCTTACAAAAGGAGGGCTGCTAGCAAGTTCCCAAAGGCCAAGACACTGGGTGACACCCGACCCAGCACCATGCCCTCCCTGCTCCCGGCTGCCCTTTCCAAGCTTTGCTGCCGAGCTTTCTGATACACCTGAGAAGCAAACGAAGCCGAAATCTCACCTGGAAAGGATCGATGTGGCGAGTCCAGGAGAACATGTCCTAGGCTTCAGCCTCCCGTCGGTATTCAAGCAAAATGACAACCGGCACGAACGAGAAAGCTGCAGATCAAGCAGAACTCGGCTCGGTGTCTGGTTGAAACTTAGGATGCCGATTTCCATTTCAAAAGTTAAAAATCTGGTGTCCTAACATCACAATCTGGCACCTGGTCTTCTGTTTCATGTCTCTATGGTACTGCCCTGAAGAATTCTCTGGTATCCGTAATTCTTTTTTTTTTTTTAAATCCTCACCCGAGGACATTTTTTGATATTTTGTTCAGATAGAGTGGGAGGGAGAGAGAGAGAGAAACATCGATGTGAAAGGGACACATCCAGTGGCTGCCACCTGTACAACCCAACCAGGGCCGGGGACAAACTGCAACCGAGGTACATGCCCTTAGCGGGAACCGAACCCGGGTCTCTCTGGACCGCAGGTCGACGCTCTAACCACTGAGCCAAACCGACCAGGGTCATAATTCTTTTTTATTTATTTTTTCTTTATTGATACTAGAGAGATAGAAAGAAACATCGATGAGAGAGAACATTGATTGGCAGCCTCCCGCATGACCCCCACTGGGGATCGGGCCCACAACCTGGGCATGTGCCCTGATCGGGAATCAAACCAGCGACCTCTTGGTGCATGGGTCAACACTCAATCACTGAGCCACACCGGCCGGGCCGTATCCATAATTCTTTCCCTCCAAAGAAGCTGCAAGAATTGAGTTAACTACTAAATAAACAAAAAGCACCCAAGAATTATCCTGTGGAAAGTTTTGGTCCAGTCACAGCCTGGCAGGGGCCTTTGGAAGACTCCTGGGGAAGCTACAGGTCTTATCCATCAGACACTGTGAAAGTGTACAGTGTAACCTTGTCTCCTAATAAACAGATGACACTGGAATAGAAAACACTGCAAATATCCTGAAGTGTGTGTGTGTGTGGGGGGGGGATTAGAGGAAAACATGAGACATCAATACTTATTAAAATCTTTATTCATTTTTTCCAGAATTGAAACCAATAGAACGCATTAGAAATTGAGGTGCACGTGTGCCGTTTGGTGACTTACCAAGCACAACCTCTGTCTGCAACAGCTCTGAGAGGAAGTCCATGGTGGATCGGCAGGGTGGTGGCGCTCACACTTCCCTTTGAGCGAATAAATAAGCTTCCAGTGAGTCATTCCCAGCCCCCCGCACATTCTGTATTTGTAACACCTTCACCCCTTAAAAATCTGTGGCAGTCTAGTCCCCAGCTCCCACCTCAACCCAGACTTCAGGGACTGGAGGGAGAAAGACTGGCTTCCCCTGCACAGGAGGTCTCACAGTCGTGTCTGCTCGCGCGTGTGCCGAGCGGCGGGCTCCGAGCGGGCTAGCCGGTGTTCGCCGAGTGAGTGAGCTTTATGGTGTAGGGTCCGCGCTCAGAGACTCAGAAGAGAACCGTTTAACTAGCTTTAAGTTCTCCAGCAACATAAATCTGCTTTCCTGTGTCAAAATAAATATGCTTTTTCTTGCTAGAATACATATATGACTATATACATACATATACCTTTACTCGCGTGTCCTGAAGCTCAAGCCCCAGGATGACTCAGACACGACGGCTCACTGACAGATGCTGTGTCACCATCATGGAGGTGAGGGCATTCACTGGTCAAGACACAGGGACCATCAAGAAGGGAGGCTGAAGGAATATGGTAGATGGGAAGAGGAGGCCAAAAGCCTTTTTTTTTTTAAAAATAAATGATGGATTTCTTTGGAAGAACATTGAAAAACTATCATGTAGAGAATCCATCTTTTCCAATATAATATGCAGTGGATGTACCCAAATTCTCCCATTTCCTTCTTAAATTTTATTTGACACATTAATCCTGAGTGCAGATGCCTTATTAATAGATTACTGAACAAATACTCTGAGCAAATCCAATTCCATTTATAATTTGTTTTGCACAGAAAATTATTTATGGCCAAACCCACAATATAGACTCATTAAAGAACAGTTTAGAATGAAACCTCGCTCCTCATATTTCCCCACTCAAACTCTGGAATAAACATATTTAAGTAGAAGGAGGAAAGAAAATAGCAGTCAGTTCTGACTTTCCCAGTTTTATAATATTAAAAAGTACGCGCATCTGCCTCGAGACGTCGGCTAAGCAGCCGCTGCCGGCTGACACCCACCCCCCACCCTCGGGGCCTGTGCTAGTCCCAGATTCTGATAGACAAACTGCAAAGAGAACAGTGGTAGAAAACTTTTGAAAAGATATCTACCTGTTTTTTCAAACAAAGTTAGTGTTTGTGAATTTTAGGGCTATGTTTATGGTTGCCTTTCTCCAAGATTTACGCACACATACTTTTCCTGCTTAGTCCAATCCTGACTTCGCACATAGTCTTATGCCGTGTCATTAGCACAATCCTAACTTGAACCACTAGACCTGAACACCTTTTAAAAACATGGATTTTTAAATAGGGAAAGAGAAAGAAATTGTTCATTTTCAGCAATGTTTTAAAAAGGATGAGACCGTTCCAGACCAGCTCTCTCTCCTGCTCTTTTCCCCAGGAGAATCTTCTGTCTTAGTCTGAACAAAGCTCCCAGTTTGAGAACAACTCTCATGCATTCCGATGTGGCATGCTAAGAGGTGCACGTGGTGAGAGAACACTAATCCATAATTTAATTCAGCTGACATTTACCCAGGGGAGCGTGGCTGACATCCCTCCGTCTCCCTCCGGCCAGCTCGCGGACCCTGGCGCGGGAGCACGCTCCGGGGTGCCCTCCAGCCCAACTGTGAATTTCTGGGCACGCGCACGGCCCAGGGCCTTTCAACCGGAATCCGTGCCGTCTTTTGCTAACACTATTTTAGAGTTCTGTGCTAATATCTGTCTTCTTACAATACCTTTTAAAGTAACTTGGCCCATTCTTGTGAACATCTCAAAGTGTACATACAAAGTACAATACAAAAGTATCCTAATTTCATGCTCGTTGAAAGTAGTCACAGGATGCTGTTATCTTTAAATGTGAGGGTGTTGGGGCATCAATTCTAAACTGCTTTTGAGAGGGTGGTTGCTTAAGACTGGTCCCCAGTGGCTGGCACTGAATTTGTTCAACCACACTGCTGAATATTATCCCCACGGACAGAAACACAGACCTGGAGCAGCACCCAGACAACACGAGGGCAGTGCCCAGCTCAGAGGCCTCAGTGAGTGGGCACACAGGCCTGCCGTCTTCAGGCCTACGTTTTACTGCGACCGCTCACATGGCACGATCTCTCTGCCAGAGCCCAGAACCGAGCCTGTGTTTGAGCAAGCTGAAATTTGAGAGTGCTAACAAGAGACGGAAGAACATGGGTTCGAAACTCCAAACAAGATTAAATGATGAAATCGGGGTTTGACATAGATCCAAATCTTAAGGCTCTTCCTGGTACAACCTCCTTGGTTTTAAGGCTCAGAGGCTTAAACCTTTGTTTCCAGGCATCCGCATGGCTCGATCATGCGGGTCCAGCCACCCCCAGGATGTGTACTTCCATCAGCCAGAGCGAGCTGGTTTTTCTCACAAGAAAGGCACAACCAGGTCTGCCAACCTCTTGGGAATAGCAGCTTCAAAGGCCTTAAAGGCAGAGGTGGAAATTCATCTCAGAAGAGGAATCAGGATGGCAGAGGTCACAGGCAACTGAACTCTTATTCAAGGTATTATTTGTTTGCTTTGTTAATTTGGAAAGGGTTTGTCTCCTTCGGGCAGGATAAAAAAATAAAAGTCTCATAAGAGAATCGTGCTTGGGTTGTAGCAGTAAGTTCTCCAGAGACAATGTTTTGGTTAAACACAATTGTGAGAATGCAGACTTTACTTAGGTACAAATCACGTTAGCTTTTCCACACCTGAAGAACTTAAATAAAACCCCGGGGAACCTGCTTTCACTAATTCAGGCGTCTCCCAGATTCCAGTCACCTTCTCCCTCCCTTCTTCGCTCCCTAAACCCAACAGAAGCGCTACTGCCAATCACTGACAAGCCCACACCCTTCCGCTCTTGTTCTTCCCGCTGAGACGCAGCTCCTTCCACAGAGCCTGCTCCTTTGGCTCCACAGAACGCCGATTTGACCAGTCCTGGTTAAAAAAAGGACTCGGGATTGCAAAGTGGTCTCAGAAAATCCACAGGTGTGGCGAAAGGACTATAAGGATGAACTCAAACTCCAGAACCAATCCCAGCATTAACCTAGCCACACGTCACACCTGTGCGTCCTTTGGCATGAGGAGTAAGACCGACCAACTGCAACGCCCACTGTGAGATGGGCCAGGGCTGAGGCTGTGGGTGACTCAGCAGGAACATTCCGTCGTCTGAAACTCAGTCCTCGCTTCAGTTTCTACGACGGAAAACACCAAAGAAATCCACGGCCACCCTGTCCCCAGTCCCCAGAACTTGCTGCCGGCCATTTCCAATCCATCTCATACCATTTGGAATTGATTGTGCTGTTTCTCTATCTTTGTAAAAAGAAGTTTCAGTTATTCTGTGCTGCAAATTACAAGTGGGAGAGAGGCATCCTGTCTTCCACCAGCACAGTGTCCATCCCAAACTGGTCCGTGCACTGCTTCACGGTGGCCAGGACGCTCAGCAGCCGCTGGCCCACGGCGTCCAGGTGGGGAGCGGACAGCACGGGGGAGATGGGGTCGTGGGCCATGGCGGACGTTAAGGCGGCCTTCAGGACCCCATTCTTCAGGTAGTTCAGTCTATTCCAGGTGGAAATCCGAATGCTGGAAGAAAAACATTTTGGCAGGTTACATGAAATCTCACTACCAAATGGAGTTTAAAGCCTGCTTAGTGCACAAAAGTAAAGAAATAATTATGTAAAATACTTCAACGGAACAAACCTTTATGAGTAAGTCACATTAGCACATTTTGGTACAGGTAATTAATGAGAGATAATATAAGGATCTACATGTGTTCATTGCAGTGCTATTTACAGTAGGAAAAATGCAAACCAATCTGAATGTAAACAAATGATGGCACATCCGTTCGAGGCAACACCAGGCAGACGTAAAGCGGTAAGAAGGCGGAGTGGCATGGGACAGTGTCCATGAGGCTGCGCGGGGTAAGCGTTGGAGTAAAACAGCGTTTTACTCTGTGGGGAAGTGTACTGGTACATGTACACACACACACACACACACACACACTTAGAATGACGTCACTATGTGAACGGACATTATCCTTACATCTTTTTTTTCAATCCTCACCTGAGGATATTTTCCCATTTATCATCAGATAGAGTGGGAGGGACAGAAGGGGGTCATCAATGTGAGAGAGAGACACACTGACTGCCTCCCACACGACCCAACCAGGGCCGGGAACTGCCACCAAGGTATGTGCCCTTGACTGGAATTGAACCTGAGACTCACATCGATGTTTCTCTCTGTCTCTCCCTCTCTCTCCCTCCGTCCCTCCCTCCCACTCTATCTAATAATAAATAGAAAAATATCCTCAGGTGAGAAATAAAAAAAACCACACACACACGTATATACATACACACATGCGCACACACACACACATACACACACACAACAAATGCCCCAAGCACCTGAGCTTCTCATGTTCAACTAAGGTATCACTTGACATGACCTGCTATTATAGGACAGGTTTCCTTTAAGCACCTCCCTTTCCTGAGTTTTCTCAGTAGAGGGCGCTCGAGGAATATGACAGAAGGAAGGCACAGTGGGTCAGCAGTGTGGGAGGTCACCAAGTGTAGCTCTGCCCCGGCTACATTCCCAGAACGGGCAGGGACTTGGTGACTTTGCAGCCTAGGCCTGGCCTGGTGTAAACCGTCCTGAGGCCCCCCTGACCTGCAAACCAAAGCCAAAGGCCCCTGCCCATTCTGGTTCCCTAATTCCCTTTGCAGACCCACAGATGTGTGCTGCCTGCAGCCCAGAGGCTTCTACCGAGTTGTCCCTCCCTCTGTGTGCCATGAGGTCAGCTACTGACTGCCTGCACCTTGGAGGCTGCATCCTGCTCCCCAGCGCCTGCCATCCAGTGGGCTGAACTACAAACGGGGATCCCCCCTCCAAGTTTGTCCCTCCTTGGGTGCTCTCCCTCGGCCCTAGTTTTCTTTTATATTCATTCCTGTATCAGAGTGAACAATTCTTTATACCAAACTTTCCCATTTAACCCACTATGTCTTTCCTATCTCTTGAGTGATAGGACATGAAACCACCAGGTAAACACAGTGCAGTGACCAGGGACACAGAGTCTACTAGGTTTTTTGGGGGCGGGGGGGGCTATATTCTGATAATAAAACAAGCATGGATATACATTACTGAACAGACTGCAAAGTTCTATGCGTACAAAACGCGACATGAATTCTGAGTACTGGACGACAGGCCTCCACGTCTCCTGATCCTCCACCGCAGGGCCTTGCGGGTTCAGGGTCGGAACAGCATGAACAGCACTGCTCGGGGACTAGGAATCCCTGAGGCCAAGGACGCTGCTCACTGTCTGTGACCTGGGCCTGGCACGGACGTGCGCCACTTACATGCAGCACTGATAGAGGGGGGCGAGAATGCTTCTCTCGTCCAGCGAGGGGTTCCCAAAGCTGAAAATGAAATAAACCGAAGTGAATGAGGTGAAGCACCAGGTCCCTCTTCGATCAGGGCAGATTCTGTAAGAACCCAAATGTGATCCTGAATAATTGCACGCTCTCAAGTCACTTCAATGAAAAATAAACAGGGCATGACCAATCAGACACAGATTCCTAACAGCTTGTGCTGCAGCGTCGAACAGCAGACACATGGGTAAGGACCCTTTCTCCTGATGAGCTACAGCAGGGTGCTGAGGCACCCCAATGGGGACACTGACCGGACAAGAACCTGAGACCTCTCAACCTGAAGAAATGTTAAGTGAGGGTGCAGAAACACAGGCTATTTGTATCAGGTTCCCGCCAACAAGCAGATGGTCGTTACTTATAAAAAGAAGTTACTCTGCCCTGGCCGGTTTGGCTCAGCGGTTAGAGCGTCGGCCTGCGGTTCAGAGAGACCCGGGTTCGGTTCCCGCTAAGGGCACATACCTCGGTTGCAGTTTGTCCCCGGCCCTGGTTGGCTGTGCGGGAGGCAGCCACTCAATGTGTCCCTTTAACATCGATGTTTCTCTCTCTCTCTCTCCCTCCCACTCTACCTGAACGAAAAATGGAAAAATGTCCTCGGGTGAGGATTAAAAAAAAAAAAGGAGAAGTTACTCTGTTCTACTCCACAATGACCCATCAGAAAAGATTTGGCTTATCCGATTCCCTACAAGCATACGGACAGATTCAAACTGGAAACGCTATTCACAGAAGCTGAGAAAACAGCTAAGTCAAAGCAGATGTAAAAATGATCTTCGGAGTTAGAAAAGGAGAGCTGATTCTGGAAAATCTGTTAACCTTCCGCTTGTTTCCGGGAAGCCCACCCTGGCAGTGGAGGGCCTGGAAGCCTGAAGCACACTGCAGGCCTCAAGTAATTAAGGGGAAAGGCAACTATTTCGGTGTATAATTCCACAATTCACATGATCTTTCAAAAAAGGATCATTTTCACAAGGAAGGTTGAAGACCTTCAGGAACATAATCAGCACTGGCTGCCACCTGCTGGCCTCTCACTTTCTGTAGCTGTCATTGCCTTTCACAGAGCACGAGGCACCTGGCTCTCAGTGCAAGACGGTGCATCATGAGCAAATTCTGCCCCAGCATTCTTTGCTGAGGACCCGTGTCTCAGCTTATTCTCAGCAACCAACGTGAACAGTAGTGACCTGGACAATTCTGGGCCCGAAGAAGTACTCTATTCAATAAACACTTCGGTACCTAAAAGTGTGGTGCTGAACTGGGCACCACAGAGGCTGCAGAGTGCAAACTGCAATACAATGTGTTCTTCAGAGCTCAGACTTAAAAACATAAGGACATTCATTGACTCAAAGTAACTTGTCTTTATATGCAATCACTAGGCAGCTCCTCTTACTCTCATGACAGCAAAGAGCCTGGGCCCAGACTGCTATAAAATAGCCAAACAGCCTACCAAAAATTTAATCTTTTAAACTGCATGAGCCTTTGGATAAAATGAGCTTAACAGTAATCACATTTCATGTTCTATTAACTATGTATTTCTCAAGTTTCTCAGCATCATAGTTAAGAAAGATCGGTGTGAGCAGCGATGAATCAAGGGCCTTGGTTTCCTGCTGTCTGAAGAGACTCATCCTCTTTGACTCCTGGGAAAAAGCCCCTTTTCCAGTTTTAAAGTCCTCCGACCCGAGGAGGAAGGAGTGCACCTGAGCACGGTGGGAAAAGGAGCTCGCCGACAGCGGAGCCTCCGAGCGGAAACAGGCCAGATGCTGTCGGGTGTGCTCTGGATTTCCCGGGACAGCCTAGAACAGGCCCTGTCTACACGGAAACCCTTGCCTGACCAGGGCAGTCCTGCTGCCCTACCTTTTGGCATTATCGAGAAGGATGAGCATGCTGGCGCCTTCATCGTCCTGGAAACTCTCATAGTGGTGGCGGTCAGCGTTGCCAATCAGGTAGTCAAAGACAGCCGTGTCGATGATGTCCAGGAGCCGGGGGCCAGAGTCGTAAGGGGATGTTTTCTTCACGGCGTCGCAGTAGCTCTCGTCATACTCCCACCTGCAGGCAAGCAGCGTCGCCAGGCTTATTACGGAGAGCCGACACTGTCCCTGCCTAGCAGCTGTGCCCTTGACCCTCCACCGTCTGTTTCGTCTTGGACACCCCCTGGCTGCACGCGGGTTGACACGGGGCCAGGCACAGGAGAGGGTTAGGCAGTGCTCACAGGAGCCTTTACCTGGCCAGTTTGCCCTCTCGGTAAGTCCTGCCCCAGGGGTGTCGGTGTTTCTGCAGAGGCCACACATCTGGAAGCCAGAGTGTGACAGACCCCTCCATGGTGTCTCCGTCGGCACAAGCCGGCTCCGTTTCTCGGCAGTAATAGCACTTCCCATAGAAACAAGTGTTATTTCCTAAAAGAGAGAAAGGAGCCAAATACACTTATAGGGGGAAAAAGAAGAGTCCAAATTCTCCCCAAACAATGGAGAACAGGGCAGCTAGGTAAACAGATACTGTGAAAACCAAGATCCTGAACTTAATTTAAAACTGTATAGGTAATAAAAGCACAAGGTGTAAAAAAATTCTGAAGGTACAAAAGGATATATATGAAAAAGCAAGTCTCCCTTTCTCTGTGTCCCTTCTACCCAGTCCCTCTCCAGGAGTCCACTACTGTCGCCGGTGTCTTCGTGAACTACTTTAAGGACAGGAAAGGAACGCCCTCTTCTGCCCCGTCAGAGCGCCGGAGTAGGCAGAGACAGGCAGGCAGGTGGGGAGCGGGCACGGCGTGGGTGCACTGCCAGGGGAGGGTTCACGGCCCGGGCGAATGGGGTGAGATTTCATCACACTACTTTGAATGGTGCATGGCTGAAAACTTGTGAATTGTTTATTTCTGGAATGTTCCATTTAATATGTTCACCAAATTCTTTCCATTTGAGTGTCTCTTAAGTCTTTCTATCCCCGTCCTTGCTTTACTTCTGACTCTCACTGCGCATGAATTTACTCCAGGAGCCCCACGTGCCCTCACCTCCCGACTGTCCCCTTCCCACTCATTCTCCGCAGTGCTGCCAAGATGCGCTGTCCAGACTAGGAGCCTGGCCCTTCCAGAGCCGGCTCTAGTGGCCTCCCGGTGCCTATGGAGGAAGTCTCTCCTTGTAGGGTGGTGCACAGGCCCTCCGGTGACACTGTCCTGACCACCTGCCTTGCTCAGTCCTCAGCCCCACATGGAGCCTTAACTTCAGCTAAATTACAGTTCTGAGCTGTCACGCTCTCGTCATTGCCCTGTGCTCTGTCCTCCCCTGGGACAGGGTTAGCTCAGCCCGGAACTGGAGGGGAACAAAACCACATTTTTATTTTCATTAACTTCTATCTGAAACTTGGCATTTCCTTCAACTATTATGGCAGGGAGCAAACCATAGCAGTATTAACATTATCTGTGGCTTTTTCACTAGAAGAAATCACAGATTCTTCATATCATAGTAGTATTGTTGCAATATTACAAAGTATTTATAGTCTCAAATTATGGTATTTACTAGATGTGCTAGGTCTTGTTATTTAATGTGTTAAATAAGGCACAAGTGATTATCACAAATTTGCTTTTTATAATTGTTGATAACAAAACACTTCCAACATTATTGGATACATTTATAAGTCTATGCATCTAATTTATGTTTTCAAAAACATTACTTTGAGAAAGGATCACTGCCAAAGGAGTCTCTAGCACAAAAAGGTCAGGGGTCCAAACCCAGGATGCTCCTTCCCACTGTGCCCTCCTGTGGGGATGCTACTCTCCCTTTGAGACTTGGTTGCAACAGCACCTTCACTGAGTAACTATCACCCTGGCCCTAACCGCTAGGCCCCTTCTCCTTCACCTCCACGGCCTCTGTACATGCCTGGCTCCCCATTAAACAAAGCTCCTTGAAGGTAGGGAGATAGTGTTCATTTTTGTATATTTGGCACCTAGCACAGAGCCTGCCACAAGGAAGTGAAACAGAATTTTGCTAAATGAATGAATAAATATAAAAGAAATAAACAAATGAAATGTTTTAGAGTTTTAGAATCTGAGTTGGAATCCTGGCTAACAATTCATAGCTTTGTGACTCTGGGAAAGTCATTTAACTCTTTTTAGCCTCTTTCTCAGGTAAGACAAGTGGATGAATCTCCCTACTCACTGCTCTCTTTTGTCAAGAGGACCGAATACCGTAACTGCGTAAAAGTGCTTTGTCAAGTTGTAAGGGCTACAGAATTTAATTATTATACCCAGTTATCTAATAATACATTTAAAAACTGTGCTAAGGTCAGCCCATTATTTAAAACCAACCTCCAGTCAAATCCCTCTACCTACTGCTATGGACTGAATGTTTGTGCCCCTTAGAATTAGAATCCATGTGCTGAAGTGCTCAATATGGTGGTATCTGGAGGTGGGGCTTTTGGGAGAAACCCTCGTGATGGGATTACTGTCCTCATGAGAAGAGAAGGGAGAGAGATGATCTCTCTCACGAGCTCACTCTCTCTTTCTCTCTGCTATAAGGAGACATAGCAAAAAGGTGGCTGACTGTAAACCAGAAAGAGGGCTCTCGCCCTGGCCGGTTTGGCTCAGTGGTTGGAGCATCGGCCTGCGGTCCAGAGAGACCCCGGTTCGGTTCCCGCTAAGGGCACGTACCTCGGTTGCAGCTTTTCCCTGGCCCTGGATGGGTCGTGCGGGTGGCAGCCACTCGATGTGTCCCTTTCACGTCAATGTTTCTCTCTCTCTCTCTCCCTCCCACTCTATCTGAACAAAAAGTGGAAAAATGTCCTCGGGTGAGGATAAAAAAAAAGAAAGAGGGCTCTCATCAGAACCCAACCTTACTGGTACCGTGGCCTTGGACTTCTGGCAGCCCAAATTAAGACACTGCCCCACGTGGTGGGTGTATCCAAAAGGAGCTTATTCCCCAAATGCACCAATCCTGTGTACTTTCAGGTCTTTATGCTCCCATTTCTGTTATTACTTCCAATTACTGCCCAACACCCTTTCCTCCTGGCTGCCTGGGTAGCTCCTACTGATTCTTCAATACACAGTCCGATTGTTAACAGCCTCCTCTACAACCCTTTCCTGGCCTTTCCCTTGCCCACACTCAGACAATGCATGAGAGTTAACCTCTGTGAGTCTCTAGAAAGCAGGGACTCTGGCCTAGTCTTCTTTTTTTTTTTTTATCCTCACCCGAGGACATTTTTCCATTTTTTGTTCAGATAGAGCGGGAGGGAGAGAGAGGAAGAGAGAGAGAGAGAAACATCAATGTGAAGGGACACATCTAGTGGCTGCCACCCACACGACCAACCAGGGCCGGGGACAAACTGCAACCGAGGTACATGCCCTTAGCGGGAACCGAACCCGGGTCTCTCAGGACCGCAGGCCGACGCTCTAACCGCTGAGCCAAACTGGCCAGGGCTGGCCTAGTCTTCTTGACCTCCTCCCATCCATCAGGAATTCACGTTTGCCTGAACATAAAATTGAACAAGCAAAAGTGATTAGAAAATATATGAAACAAATCAGAGACACTGTATGCTTTTGGTTATTTTAAGAACAGCACAGACCTAGCCTTATACATTTAAACTCTGAATGATAAATCTGTCACAAGTCTTTTAAATATTCGGTTTCACCTCATTTTAAATGCAACCCCATTCACTCTAGCAAAGCAAGGTGAAGTTCATCTTGCAATGACTGTTTCAAGTCATCATGTGAAGCACTGTCACTGAAAATGTCACCATGAAGAGGCTAGGACAAGAGACCACGGCACCTCTGAATCCTTCCCGTCCTCACTGTGCCCCAAGAACAGGAGTGAGAATTTTAGCTCAGATCCTGCACCTCGGAGTGAGATAACAGGGCAGAGGCCAGAGGGACCATGGCCAGTTCAGCGCGGGTGAGTGACAGGCCACCCCTCACAGAGCAGAGGCGGCAAGGGTGACCTTCCAGGCCCAAAGGCAGCCCTGCGAGGGAATTTCTGATTTTCTCACAGAGTTGCCTTAAGGTTTCTTCAATTCTAAGAAGACAGGAGACAGTTCCCAAGAAAGTACATGTATATATAAAAAACTACCCAGCCAATGATATACAGACAAAAACAGATTTAGGTCAAAATCTAAGTCTGAGGTTTAGCTTAAGAGCAAGCAGAAGTTACCAGCTACTTAACCGACCAGTCAAGGATCTCACTTCCTACTCCACGGGCACAACCTCAGACCCGGTTCCCCAGCTTGCTGGGTGGCGCCCTCTTTAACGTGCTAACTATTCCCCTATCTAGATGTCCTCTGGATCTTCTTACCTAGGGTTAGGAAGGTGCTCAAGAGCTGCTCCGTGGCAACAGGCTTGATCTCTGTCCGCAGATTAACAAATCTGCCAACCACCAAGGGGGCTCGGCGGAAACCCAGAATCCTGGTTTGGAAGGTTTAAGAACAAAAGAGAAAAATCTTTGGGGGAAATATTTTAAATAGCAGTCTTAAAAATTATGGTTAATCATGTTAGATGTGAAAAGGAATTGTTGACAGGTAGGTAAGTATTTTTTAAAGGTACATATATTTATGAGCTTAATATCAAGATATAGATAACTTACTTTAATATGCACTTCAACAAAAAGGATAAGGCAAATCCGGCAAAATGTGAATATTGTTTATTCCAGGGAGTGGGTATATGGGTTCATTATACTATCCCCTCTACTTTTGTTAGAAAGTTTTCATAATAAAATTTTAAAATAGATTTTAACAAAGCATTTAAAAAACTGGGTCTAAATCCATAGTTGGGTTCCAAGCTTTGGATAAAGCAGCACACTGACAGCAAAAAATACGGATTAAACTAAAAGGATAAACCCACAGGACAAATTAAACATAGATATGTTTCTCTAATGGTCTAAAAGTATAACCATATGGTTGAGCACAGTCATTTTTTTTAAATGAAAGTTTATTTTTTTATTTTATTTTTTATCTTCACCCGAGGACATTTTTTTTTTTCATTTATCTTCAGATAGAGCAAGAGGGAGAGAGGGGAGAAGAGAGAGAGAGAGAAAAACATTGATGTGAGAGAGACACATCGACTGGTTGCCACCCACACGACCCCAACCAGGGCTGGGGACAAATTGCAATGGAGGTACATGCCCTTAGCGGGAACCGAACCCGGGACTCTCTGGTCTGCAGGCCAACACTCCAACCGCTGAGCCAAATAAGCCAGGGCTAAAATGAAAATTTATAAGTACACATTCACTGAAGAAAGTCAGAGGGACAGTTTGGAACACACAGAAAATGTATAATGAAGAAAATAAAGATCATGTATAACTCCATAACCCAGAAATAACTACTGACATTTTGGCATGTGAGCATTTTTCCTTTACAAGTATATACAAACACATACTCAATATACAGTTTTGTGTCCTGTTTTTCAATGATCATTACATCATGAGCCTTTTACCACATCATCACAAAACCTTTCAAAATGGCTGAGTAGCCCTGGCAGGTTTGGCTCAGCGGTTAGAGCATTGGCCTCTGGACCCTCTAGAGAGTCTTGGGTTCAATTCTCTTTAAAGGCACATACCTTGCTTGTAGTTCAGTCCCTGGCCCTAGCTGGGGTCATGTGGGAAGGAACCAATCAATGTGTCTCTCTCACATCGATGTTTCTCTCTCTCTCTCCCTCTCCCATTCTGTCTGAAAATACATGGAAAAATATCCTGAGGTGAGTATTTAAAAATAAAATGGCTGTGTAGTACAGTGATTACCAGAGAGGAAGGGGGTTGGGTGGAGGAAGAGAGGGGAACAGGGGGCACCTGTATGGTGACAAAAAGAGACTTGACTTTGAGTGGTAAGCACACAATGCAATATATAGATGATGTGTTACAGAATTGTACACTTGACACATATAATCTCATTAACTAATGTCACCCCAATAAATTTAATAAAATAAAAAATATTTTAAATGGCTGTGCAATCCAGATCCATTGTTCATAGCCACTGAGTGACTTTGTCCTAAACTCAATCTTAGAAAAGCCACCAAAACAAAGAGATCATCATATTTGTCCAAATAACATAAGAACACAGACAACCTCCTGAGGCCAGGGAAGGTGGTCAAGTCCTAACGAAATGGAGATACAGCAACCTGAGCAGCAGTGTCAGGAGCCCAGACGGGAAGAAAGTTGGAAGGTGTGTTTTCTTCCCAATGAGCACGGCCAGGCCAAAGACACAGCCACCCGGTGCTGAGGGACGTGTCAAGGAGGGACGTGTCAAGGAGGGACGTGTCAAGGAGGGACGTGTCAAGGAGGGACGTGTCAAGGAGGGGGCCGTTGACACACAGGTCGAGGGACTGGCTAGAGAACATCTTTCGAGTTCTGAGGCAGAGAAGGACTCTTTTTGTTGTTGTTGTTAATCCTCATCTGAGGATATTTTCCCATTGGTTTTTAGAGAGAGTGGACGGGAGGGAGAAACATCGATGTGAGAGAGACACATCAATTGGTTGCCTCCTGAACGATCCCAACCGGGGATCGAACCTGAAACTGGGGTATGCGCCCTTGACCAGGAATCGAACCCAAGACCTTCTGGTCCTTAGTCTGACACTCTAACCACTGAGCTAAACTGGCCAGGGCCAGACAAGGACTTTCAAATACAAAACCTCCCAAAGCACAAGTCATAAAGGGAAACATTATTATATTTAACTAACATCAAGAGTAATTTCTGTACAAAGACTACTTCACTCTAAGTTAACAAATAGGTGTTGTGCTGTGAAAAGATAAGGAGATACTAAATTCTGCCAATAATTGGGGAAATACAAAATAACTTTACATGTTAGATGAACAAAAATTGGTATGTTGGAAACTACAAAATACGGGTGTGGATAATATTTCACACACTGGTGGCCACGACAGGGCAACAGGAAGGGGTTTGGGGATGAAGGAAATCAGGAAACACATGAGGTCTTGGAAAGACTGATTCTAGGGTACCATCAAGTGAGGAGTAGGATTTACCCAACTCTTTCCCACTAGGTCTTTTTTTTTTATCCTCACCCGAGGACATTTTTCCATTTTTTGTTCAGGTAGAGTGGGAGGGAGAGAGAGGAAGAGAGAGAGAGAGAGAGAAACATCGATCTGAAAGGGACACATCGAGTGGCTGCCACCCGCACGACTGACTGACCAGAGCAGGGACAAACTGCAACCGAGGTACATGCCCTTAGCGGGAACCGAACCCGGGTCTCTCAGGACCGCAGGCCGACGCTCCAACTGCTAAGCCAAACCGGCCAGGGCCAAAATTCCTTTTTTTTAATCTTCACTCGAGGATTCTTTTCTATTTATCTTCAGATAGAATGGGAGGGAGGGAGGGAGAGAGAGAAACATCGATGTGAGAGGGACACATCGACTGGTTGCTTCCCACATGACCCAGACCAGGGCTGGGGATGAACCGCAACTGAGGTACGTGCCCTTGGCCAGAATAGAACCCATGACTCTTTGGTCTGCGGGCCAACTAGAGCCAAATCAGCCAGGGCAAGGCCAAAATTCTTTTTTTTTTTATCCTCACCCGAGGACATTTTTTCATTTTTTGTTCAGATAGAGTGGGAGGAAGAGAGAGAGAGAGAGAGAGAGAGAGAGAGAGAGAGAGAAACATCGACGTGAAAGGGACACATCGAGTGGCTGCCACCTGTACAACCCAACCAGGGCCGGGGACAAACTGCAACCGAGTTACATGCCCTTAGCGGGAACCAAACCTGGGTCTCTCTGGACTGCAGGCCAACACTTTAACCAATGAGCCAAACCGGCCAGGGTAAGGCCAAAATTCTTAAAAGAAAGATGGAACCATTAACAATGCCAGAAGCAGCATGTGAATCTCCACAGACTCTTGCCAATGAAATATTATTGTTTTAAAATTATTGCCATTTTCAGCAGGAGAAAAATAGCATCCCATTGTTTCCTCTGGACTTTTTATATTGCTGGTGAGGATGAGCCCCCACCCAACAGTCATTAGCAATCAATAATTCCTATTCCATCAACTGTGTCCTTAGACCATTTTCTACTAGAGTTTGAGTATATGTATAGATTTATATATTTATTTATATTAAGGTTATTAATGCTTAGATTACACTAGATTCAAGTACTTCCTCCTGGTTTGTTTGCATTTAAATTCTGCTTGATGTTCCTTTACATGTGAGTTAAATTTTTTTATTTAGTTGAGTCTATTGAGCTTTATCTTTATGAGTTTTTTTAGATTATTGCTTTTTTGCTTAGAAAATCCTTTTCAATCTAGAAAAAGAAAAAAATTCACCTTAATTTTCTTGCGGTTTCCTTACAGATCTATTTTAAAAATATTGTGAGCCCTGGCTGGTTTGGCTTAGCAGTTAGAGCATCAGCCCACCACCAAAGGGTCTTGGGTTCGATTCTGGATCAGTTGTAGGTTTGATCCTGGCCCTGGTTAGGGCTTGTGCATGGGAGGCAAAAAATCAATGTGTCTCTCTCACATCAATGTTTCTCTCCCCCCGCCCCTCTGTTCTACTCTATCTAAAAATCAATGAAAAAAATATCTTCAGGTGAGGCTCAACCAAAAATAAAAAATATTGTGAATATTTCTTTAAAAGTCTGTCCCTGTTCCCTGATAAACAAGCTGATCAGAAGAGCAACTGGGATACTAGACAGTTTACTCACAAGGTTCCTGCTGGAACATGTCAATTTCCCTAGCTAACTTACATATACAGAATACATGCCTATTTTTCTTTTGGAATTATTGTGGTTACTGGAGCTGTGTATATTTTATATGAAGGACAATAAAATTCATTATATATGTCATGCTCTATGTTTCTAACATATGGGGATAAGTTGTATTACTTCCTTAACACAAAAACAAAACAATGTTGCCAGGCTCCATGAATGACCAGTTCAATTTAGGGATCTGAGTTCCAACTTTGGTTTTCATACTGCCATTTTATTTACCAATTACTGTTCATCTTCACTCATGATAGTGACAGAGGGCAGACCAGAATGAAATGACCCCAAAAATCCTGGAGTTAAGAAATGTACTTTGGGCCCTGGCCAGTTTGGCTCAGCGGTTAGAGCGTCGGCCTGCGGTCCGGAGAGACCCGGTTCGGTTCCCGCTAAGGGCACGTACTTTGGTTGCAGTTTGTCCCCGGCCCTGGTTGGTCGTGCGGGTGGCAGCCACTCGATGTGTCCCCTTCACGTCGATGTTTCTCTCTCTCTCTCCCTTCCTCTCTCTCCCTCCCACTCTATCTGTACAAAAAATGGAAAAATATCCTCGGGTGAGGATAAAAAAAAAAAAAAGAAAGAAAGAAATGTACTTTGGTATTCCTTGTACCACCCGAATTAGGAGGGACTCATACAAATTTAATGGAACCAGTCAATCAGCTCCAAAGTAGGTAACAAGTCAGTTATTAGTGTAGCAGCGTTTAGGAGGAGTTCACAAGCCCTCTCCCAGGACATTTTGGAAAGGAAACAAAACTTGAGTAACCCACGATGATCACACACACCTGTCCAAGTGGAAGGCTGCCACCTCTGCGTTGTGTCTGTCATAGCCAGCGTAGGGTTCCCCTTCTACCACGTAGTCTCGGTTGTACCTGCAGAGGGAACGGGAAGAGCAGACGGAGACATGAGTCACAGCAGTACCACAGGCAGTGAGGGCACAAGGGTAGTGAGACAGAAACCTTGGCGAGCCTGGTTCTGCTCTGTCACATCTTCCCTGTCACCTGAGACAACCGTGGATGACACGAGTCACTGGCAGACGCGATGAGGACGCAGTGGAGAAGCCAGCGTTCTAGTGCCACCTTAGCAGTCGTTCTATGAGGATGTGGTTCTTACCCCACTGAAAAGGCTTTCAACGTAGTTTAAGTAAAACTATAAGGTAATTTTCTGGAGGGCAAGGACCATCTTTGTATCTCCACAACAGTGGTAAACTCTATAGTTGGTGTTTAAATGTTTACTACAATGTTTATTAGACAACTAAAGAAATGAAGGAAAACATGTAATTAAAATGTTTACCAGAATGGCTATGGCAAAAGGCTTATAAGAAATGTTTAAATTTCTTGGGAAATGGCCCTGATACACCTCGGTTTTTGTTCATAAATAGGCAATGGTGTATTTGAAAAGGAATGTTAGAATAACCCTTCTCTTTCTCTTAACATTCATGATGTAGTAGAAGAAACACTGGACTGGAGTGAGAGCCAGGTAGAGCTGTCATTATCTACCTGAATGACCTTGAGGAAAACCCTTTTTTCTGGACCTTAGACTCCTTATCTGAAATACTAGGGGCTTGACTAGGAGTCATTTCTAAGATCTGTTTCATTTCAAACTCCATTCTACATCATATGCGTGACATAAACAGAGGATAATGAAAACTGGCATATTTCTCTCTACTAAACATAAAGAGATGCAAAGTAAATCTGCTAATTGGGAAGAAAAAGATACATAATTCACCTATGACCTCTACTATTCACCTGCATTTCCTGATTCAAAAGGAGACCTATTAGGCTGTACAGGGAACTGTCAAATAGATATAAACTGAGACTGACGTTAAGAGGAGTTGCTCTGCTGAGGACACTTGGATCGCCAACGCTGACAGGCTTCGGGGAAGTGGGAAACAGTACTAGAATGGCAGTGACTTTCAACATAAATGACTGTAGAATATAAAGTGAAAGCTGTCCACAAAACACATTTATCAAGAGAAGTGATGAGACATTTGCGCAAGAAGACAGCCACACATCAGCACCTGGCTAGACACCAGCTCTCCTTAGCAGTGCCAATGTACTCAAATACATTTGTGTTTCTAGTGTTGAAGCATTATGTAGGCTACCTAGATTATACTGGCTCCCTCCAAATTAAAAGCCTCAATGTTAAACAGGACTGCAGCCAAGCTGTCACTTCCACCACCTCTCTCCCTACTGCAGCTGTGGCTGGTGGTGAAGCTGGGGGACAGTATTTAGTACTTTATCTTTCAGACGCCAGAGAAGCCACAGGAACTCATGTGTGATGTGCAGTCCATCCTTTCAGTGAAACAGAGAGTTTTCCATGATATTGAAAGGCTGTTCGGAGGGAAATGTCAGACCCTAGGGGAATTCGGGAACTCGGATGGTCTGGAGAGGAAGGGAAGGGAAGGAAAAGGAAGGCAGGGGAAAGGACTCGGAATCAGAAGCAAAGAGCTGCACTGGAGTCGGAGGGTCCGAACCCTTAGCTCATGTTTCGGCTGTGTGAAATACGGCAGGTCAGAACCCTGGGTCTCGTTTACGTCCCCCATGAAGTGAGGAGCTGGACTAGCTGAGCTCCAGGGTCCCTTTCAGCACTTCCTAAGATCATTCCCTCACTTGTACCCTCTCCCCAGCCCCTTGTTCCTTCTCACTGTAACTGCAGTGTGCCTGTGACAATTTACTTCCAGAATGGAGACAGCTACGTTAAAAAAAAAAATCACTTTTACAATGTAAGGCAAGATGCGAAAGTAACAGCATCACTGCTGTCCTACATGTCATAGATCTTCCATCCTCCACCTCCCAGAGCAGCACGTGGACAAGCAAGGTGGCAATGCCGGAACCACAGATGGCTGTTACAGAAAGGGGCATGTCTTGCATTAGCAGTAAGGGCTCAGTTCCTCCTCTCAGCACAGTGATCCATCTTAGGTCCCTGACATAGCAGCAAAATTCATACAGTAACGGCCAATAAATCACTCCGACCCTCTGGTGAAGGACACAGGAGTCTGACTAACGACATTAATTTGCACTTACACGAGGACTAAATAGCCTCAGAGACCCCCAGGTCAGAAGAGCAATGTGCTGGGTGTTTCAGGACCGGAGTCAATTTCTACAGGCACTTAAACATACACCCATCTTCCCCAGCCTGCAACAGTGCTGGTAGTCAGCACAGGTCACAGTGTGTGCAGTGTCTCAGAGCGCCACCACCACTGCAGGGGCACTGTCCAGCTTGCCGGGTCAGGGAGGAGTCCCCAGGAGCTGGAGTAGACATGGGCTGTTCAGGAGGTGATGAGGGAAGAGGGGCCTGACCGACAGCAATAGAGAGCTGGGGACAAAGAGGAGGACTAGGCTCTGGATGCTGAGTTTTGTCTGGTGAGCAATGGGAAGACCCTGGATGTTTGAAAGCTGGGCAGCACAGGGATCATATGGGTATTTAGGGGAAGAATGAAAGTGGTGTTCAGCGTGGAGGAGGAAGGTAATGGGACTACTGTAAGAGATGTGAGATGAAGCAATAGTGACTGTTAGTTTCTGCATTCATCTGCGGCCACCTCCCTAGTCACCAGTCAGGCCTCTCGTCCCACCACTCACACCTCATCTGAACACCCCGGCTACCTGCAGAGCACCTGCACACTACCAGGACTATCAGGCTTCTAACACTTCCTGCTGTCCCATCTTACCCTCAATTCTCTGGTGTACAAACAGTGGGTAGAGAGGATATCTTCTTTATTTCTTTTTTTTTTTTTTTTTTCATCCTCACCCGAGGACATTTTTTGTACAGCTAGAGTGGGAGGGAGAGAGAGGAAGAGAGAGAGAGAGACATCGACGTGAAAGGGACACATCGAGTGGCTGCCACCCGCACGACCAACCAGGGCCGGGGACAAACTGCAACCGAGGTACATGCCCTTAGCGGGAACCGAACCCGGGTCTCTCCGGACCGCAGGCCGACACTCTAACCGCAGAGCCAAACCGGCCAGGGCGTATATCTTCTTACTTAAACACTAAATGTCCACAACTCATCTGATCTTTCAAGCTACAAAACCAAGAGGTCTAGGACCACATCTCAAAACTAATCTATGGATTTTCTTTTTCTTTTTTAAAATACATTTTTAATTAATTAATTAATTTTTGTTACAGATGTTTCTCCCCACCCCCCACTGACTCCCCCTGGCCCCAGCTTTGTTGTCCATGTCCATTTTCTTTTAAACTTATCTTTATTGTTGAATGTATTACAGATGCCCCCCGCTTCCCCTATTGACCTCCTCCTGCCTTCCCCACACTATTGTCTGTGTCCATTGGTTACGCATATATGTATACAAGGTCTTTCTTTGGTTTATCTCCCCCCACCCCCCACTTTGAGGTTTCTCAGTCTAACAACCAATTTGTACTTTTTAATGCCTTTACCTTTTTCGCCCCTCCCCCAACCTCCCTTCCATCTGGCAACCATCAAAATGTTCTCTGTATCTACGAGTCTGTTTCTGTTCCGCTTGTTCATTTGGTTTGTACATTCAATTGCTGATAGATATGTATTTATTGCCATTCTATTGTTCATATTTTTTGTCTTCTTTTTCTTCAAAAAGACCCTTCAACATTTCATATTAATACTGATTTGGTGGTGATGAACTTCTTTTGCTTTTTCTTATCTGGGAAACTATATGGCCATCGATTCTAAATGACAGCTTTGCAGGATAGAGTAATCTTGGTTGTAGGTCCTTGCTTTTCATCACTTTGAATATTTCTTGCCACTTCCTTCTGGCCTGCAGTTTCTTTTGAAAAATCAGCTGACGGTCTTATGGAAGCTCCCTTGTAGGTAACCAACTGCTTTCTCTTGCTGCTTTTAAGATTCTCTCTTTGTCTTTAACCAGCGGTTCTCAACCTGTGGGTCATGACACCTTTGGGAGTCAAACGATCTTTTCACAGGGGTCGCCTAAGACATAACAGTAGCAAAATTACAGTTATAAAGTAGCAACAAAAATAATTTTATGGTTGGGGGTCACCACAACATGAGGAACTGTATTAAAGGGTCACGGCATTAGAAAGGTTGAGAACCAAATTTAATAAATTTGCATTTTGATTATGAAGTGTCTTGGTGTGGGCCTCTTGGGGTTCATCTTCTTTGGGACTCTCTGTGCTTTCTGGACTTGTATGTCTGTTTCCTTCACCAAGTTAGGGAAGTTTTCTATCATTATTTTTTCAAATAGGTTTTCAATTTCTTGCTCTCTCTCTTCTTCTTCTGGCACCCCCATGACGCGAATGTTGGTATGCTTGAAACTGTCCCAGAGGCTTCTTACGCTATCCTAGTTTTTTTGGATTCTTTTTTCTTCTTGCTGTTCTGATTGGGTGTTTTTTGCTTCCTTACATTCCAAACCGATGGTTTGCTTCTTGGCTTTACCTACTCTACTACTGATTCCCTGTAAATTATTCTTTATTTCAGCTAGTGCCTCCTTCATTTCTGACTGTGCATCCTTCATTTCTGACTGGCCCCTTTTTATACTCTTGAGGTTCTCACTAAGTTCAATGAGCATCCTTATAAGCAGTGTTTTGAACTCTGCACCTGTTAAGATTGCTTATCTCCATTTCGTTTAGTTCTTTTCCTGGAGTTTTGTTCTTTTTCTGTCATTTGGGACATTTTTCTTTGTCTCCTTATTTTGGCTGCCTCCCTATATTTATTTCTGTGTAGTAAGTAGAGTTGCTATGTCTCCTAGGCTTCATAGGGTGGCCTATTGTAGTAGGTGTCCTGTTAATCTATCAATGTTTGATAATGGATGCATCATGTCATCACACTTACTGGAAGCCAAACAAACCTAAGAGAATCACATGTAACGGAAAGGCTACCCACTGTATGGGAGAGCATAATTATCAATGATATATCAGAAAAGGGGTTAATTTCCAATATATATAGAGTGCTCATACAACTCAACAAAAGGAAGACAAAGAACCCAATTAAAAAATGGGCAGAGGAACTAAATAGACTTCTCTCCAAACGGGACATACAAATGGCTAAAAGACATATGAAGAAATGCTCAACATCACTAATCATCAGAGAGATGCAAATGAGATACCTCATTAAAACAACAATGAGGTATCACCTCACAACTGTCAGAATGACCGCCATCAACAAATCATCAAACAAGTGTTGGCGAGGGTGTGGAGAAAAGGGGACTCTAGTACACTGCTGGTGGGAATGCAGACTGGTGCAGCCACTATGGAAAACACTATGGTGTTACCTCAAAAAATTAAAAATTGAACTGCCATTTGACCCAGTGATCCCACTTCTAGGAATATACCCTAAGAAGCCTGAAACACCAATCAGAAAGAATATATGTACCCCCATGTTTGTAGCAGCACTATTTACAATAGCTAAGATCTGGAAACAGCCCAAGTGTCCATCAGTAGATGAATGGATAAAAAAGCTTTGGTACATATACACAATGGAATACTATGCAGCTGTAAGAAAGAAAGATCTCTTATCTTTTGAGACTACATGGAGGGACCTGGAAAGTATTATCCTAAGCGAAACAAGCCAAACAGAGTAAGACAAGTATCATATGATCTTACTTATTTGTGGAATATAATGAACATAACAGTCTGAGGAATGGGATAGTCCCAGAGACGTGGAAGTGGGGTACAGACTGACAATCCCCAGAAGAGGGGGTGGTGGGGGAGAGATAAACCACAGAACTTATATGCATATATGCATGAACAATGGACATGGACAACAAAGCTGGGGACAGGGCTGGGGGGAGGGGGGGAATCAGTGGGGGAAAAAGGAGAAACATCTGTAACAAAAAAAATTAATTAATTTAAAAAAAGAAAAAGAATCACATGTGTGCGGTGCAACACTAGCTGCTCGCACACCGACAGACCCACACGCCAACTCCATTCATTACTGCAGGGTGACCTTGTCAAGTCAGGTACTCATTCTAAGCCTCAGTTTCTTATTCTGGAAATAAGCACTGTAACTACCCACAGTTGTGATGTAGGTTAAAAGGTATTAACAGATACAAAGGTAGTTGGTACAATGCCTGGCAAATGGTGTGCATTCAGTGGAAATTAGACCCTAAGGCTCATATAACTATACTTTTTCCACATTAGCTGCCAATCAGACTTTTCTATTCTCCAAACATCTACTATATTTTTTAACTTTCCTAATGTCTACACCTTCCATACATCATAATTCCCAGTTCCAGGTAAACACAGATCCCTTCAGTTTCTAGGATCCCAATATATTCGTTCTCTGGCTGCCTACTATCTACTAAGAGTTGGGCAATTAAGGGAGCAAGGCCAACTATTCTCATCACAGTTGAATTTTGTCCATCTTTACCCTGATTTCTTCTCCCACTCCAGCAAAAGACCCAAAGTATGTGTTCTGATCCTTTCAAAAGCTTCACTGAGGAATGAAAAAAATGTTAGTACACAGAAAAATTTAGACATTACAAACTTTGAGAAAATGCACTGGTAACTAGTTCCTGGCAAATGGATATCAATCATCATGTTAACCTATTTGAAATTCATATACTAAAAAAAACTTTTTAAAAAGCTAATTTATACTATGGAATTGACACACAAATTATCTCTGTAGATCCTTAGAGAAGTCCAAAGGGGTCACCGTTTAACAACATACAGTCCTCTCTATAGTTCGAGTTTTAGACAGAAGGAACTAAAACAGCCCAGTTCTCTGCTTAACACAGGTACAAGAAACAATGAGCACCTAGTGCACACCTAACAGAATGGCCAAAATCCAAAACAGACACCACCAAATGTTGACGAGGATGATGTGGGGCAAGAGGAACTCTCATTAATTGCTGGTGGGAGTGTAAAATGGTACAGCCACTTTAGAAAACAATTTGGCAGTTTCTTACAAAATTAAACATATTTTTACCATGTGATCCAGCAATTGTGCTCCTTGGTATTTACCCAAATGAGCTAAAAACTTACATCTACACAAAAATCTATACATGAACGTTTATAGCAGCTTTATTCATAACTGCCAACACTTGGAAGCACCAAGATGCCCTTCAGTAGGTGAATAAAGAAACATACTGTGGGACATACAAACAATGGAATATTATTCAGCAATAAAAAGAAATGAGCTATCAAGCCACAAAAAGACACAGAGAAACCTTAAATGCATATTGTAAGTGAGAGGAGCCAATCTGAAAAGGTATGAGTCCAACTACATGAAATTCTGGGAAAGATAACCCTATGGAGACAGTAAAAAGATCAGTGGTTGTCAGGGGCTGGGGGAGGGGGAGAGGAGGGAGGAGGAAAGAAGGGAGGAAAGGATGAATAGGTGGAACATGGGATGTTTAAGGCAGGGAAGCTATTCTGTATGATACTGTAAACAAACAGAACATACAACACAAAGTGAACCTTCATGTAAACTTTCGAACGGTAGTTAATAAAATAATGTTGGCTTATCAATGGTAACAAATGCATTACACAGATGAAAGGTGTTAATAACAGGAGAAACTGGGGAGAGGGGGGAGGGAATACACAGGGGCTCTCTGTACTTCCCCTTTGATTTTTCTGTAAACCTAAAATTGCCTTTTGAACAAAGTCTGAAACAACAAAACCTAGGTGAAAGAATTAGAGCTTCAATGCTAAGAGGGACTATTTAGTTGCTGATCCAAAACCCACTCCAACTCTGGGTAACTCCTCTATAGCATGTAGTTACCTAGTTTCTAACTGCACACTTTTGGTGACAAGTTGCTATTTCCTTACCAACTCATTTTGTATCTCTAACATCTGGCACACGGTAGATAGTTAATAAATTTAGAAGGATAACTCTAATTGTAAAAAGTTCAGTTTTCTATGGAACCAAATCATGTTCCCATAAATTTCCCTACTCAAAGACTCACAGACCATGAGTAACTCGAGCAGACTCCAGAGCTCTTCCAGTCTACCCCTCTCATTTTACTGAGGAGAAAACCAAGAGAAGGCGATGGACCCTCTTATAAAACCCCAAGTTACACACATCGACCAACTAGCACAGGTAACTTCTAGGATGAAGACTTACCGCTTAGGTTTGAAGACAACTTTCTGTCCTCCTTCCAGTATCAGTAAGGCTTTCAGTTGTGTCCCTTTATAACCCACATCAGCTTTAACAATTTTCTTGGTGGCCATGGCATGCATGATCGCCCCCAGCTCTGGCGTCTCTTCAGGGTACACCTCCCGGGGAACCACCCACTGAGCTGCAATCTCCCAGGGAGACTGCAAGGTGTGGTCCAGCTTGGGTGCCAGCTCCACCCGCAAGCCAGCCATCATTCGGTGAAAAGCCCTCTGGTCCTCCCGGTTGGCAGCTGATGAATCTAAGTTGTCAATCAGGAAAACTTTGGTGAAGATAAAGATGACAAGGAGAATTGCCAACAGCACGACTCGCTGCTTCAGCTTCATGGTGACCTCTTTTCCTTCTTCCCTGACCCACTCTCTCGCTCATGTATCAGGGAGAGCAGGTGGTGATGGTTAGCAAGGAGATTCCATGATTATGCACACTGGTCCATTTCTTTACAGACGCGCCTCCCACAATTCCTGCAAGACCAAGTATAAAGCAAATTTCAATCAGAAATCCTGTCCTTCCCACCCTGAAGCTTTTGCAAGCTTCAAATACATTACTTACCCTTCTAGCCTTGCTAATCCTATGCTTAAGAAGACCTAATAATTTAAAATTAACTAGTCTGGGGAGAACTTAATAGGTAAGAACCAGGTACAATAAAACTTGAAAGCAAATACTCCTGTTTTAATGGGATGCAGAGCCATCTAGGAAGCATTTGGACTGATACAAATTCCTAAAAATCAAAACAATGAGGAAAAGCACAATAAAAGACAAACATTAAGAATTGTGTAACTTCTTTTTTAACTTTCAAAATCCATAAAGGACGGTTGAACATCCTAAACCACTAATATTTGGTAACTTTCCAGTTCTTCTCTTCTCCAAAGATAAGTTTTATGACACACTGTAAGATAGGAACTCCTAAAAAAATGCCAACAAGAGTACAAACGAAACTAATAACTCCGTCTCCAAATCCAAGTTCCCAGCAGTGAGATCTGTTATATGATACATGTCATATCTGCTGATCACGTACTTACTTATATACAACACCCAGACATATATCTCTACTTAAACAGCCTCCCACTAATTATTTTTAGAAATTAAAACCCCTGTAAAATATAGATAATCAAAACTGGATAAATTAAGGAAAGGAAAAACATCCCTATACCATCAGGCTATTAGTAAAATGTGACTAGAACACTAATGACACCTGGTACTATAGCAACACAACTAAGTCTGGACTGGTCAGGCACAGACAAAGATACTGATGCCACAGACATACAGAAGTGCAGCTTGCAGAGTGGGGCCAACCACAGCCAGTCAATTCTCAAGCTAAAATATTACAGATCCAAGATTTGTGTAAGGGTGTCAAGAGCATTCAATCCAGTCTCATTTGCATGCTGACAGGTTACTTTCCACCCCATAGGGCCATTTGAAAACATGCACAGGCTTGCTCTGCGTGTGCTTACAAACAGCACAGGACTGGGCTAAGATAAAGATGACAAGAAGATAATGGGGTATTGCCTCACTCTCCAATTCATTTAACAGTGCAAACCATTAATCGAAGAAATAAAACCAATACAAAAGGTAGGGCAAATGATTGCACCTGAGACACTCCCAACCCAGCTGGAGACGGCTCCCCTAATAACAGCTGAAACACACCCACAACAGCCTACAGGAGCAGCAGTGTTCTAAGAACCACCTTGAGTTGAGCCCACTGACATACAGTGTCTTCTTAATGATTAACCACTCTCTTCACGTCAGTTTTCAAGAAGTGGAAAGTCACGGTCAAATGCAAGTTCTAATTATCTCCAGCCACCTGTTTTGTTTCATCATCGTCATTTCCCAGGGAGTACATAACACTATTAGCTGAAACAAAGGCAATTCAAGCACATCCAAAATGTAATTGTGACGGTATCAAGTTTGGTATGCAACTCAGTAAAACAGTTCCCTGTGATTACTGATAACAGCAATGCTGGGAGGGCAGATTGCAGGTTTTTGCTAGTTGCAACATGACTTGAACCACACAAGATCTTCAGTTATTTGTTCAACAGTACACATCTCAGGCTGCAGTGATAGAAGGGAGTATGGAAACCTCACTGTCAGCGATGGCTTCCTCAGCACCTCCGCTGCAACCACCTACAGTGGTAACAAGTCTGGCACACAGGTCAGTGAACGGCCCTGCACTTCCTATGAAACATCCTTCACAACTAGTCTGGTTAACCATAAACTTCTAATGAGGCTGCTTGTTTCATTTACATATTACATGTAAACACTTATTTTATTATTATTATTATTTTTTAATCCTCACCTGAGGATATTTTTCATTTATCTTCAGATATAGTGGGAGGGAGAGAGAAGCGGGGAGAGAGAGAAACATGGACATGAGAGGGACACATCGACTGGTTGCCTCCTGCACAACCCGGGCCGGGGACCAACAGCAACCAAGGTACATGCTCTTGTTCGGAATTGAACCTGTAACTCATTGGTCCGCGGGCTGCCCTTGTTCGGAATTGAACCTGTAACTCATTGGTCCGCGGGCTGACGCTCTACCGCTGAGCCAAACCGGCCAGGGCTCACATGTAAACATTTAGAATAATGGTTAGGGATATTGAGGTGTTTGTTGTTTTTTTTAATCACCAATATAGGAAGTTCTAGCAGCTCCAAAATTAATACAAAACAACTGTCTAATTCTGCGATCTGAGTGTGTGCTTTTAAGTTTTGCAATCTCATTAACCTTTGGAAAAGGCCTCAGAAGAACACATTTATCAATTCAGGGCAGCAAACAATTCACCCATTCAATTGGGATAGAAATTTCTATCAATTGAGCTAAAGAGTTCAACTGTCAGATTATTTTACTATTTATCTCTGCAGATTAGCAGTGAGGGCGGGTTTAAAGAAGAGGTTAAACAAGTTTTCATGCTGTGATTAGTCACCACATTGGGGTAGATACAAGATCACAATGTGGCACTTTTCTCTCCAATTGCCCTTTAGCCCCACAGCCACCAACGTAACTCAGTGTTACCACCGTCTACTGGATCACTGAAAGAGCTGCCTCCTGGGCCACAGAGTTCTCCTATCCAGACTAGATAATGCAGCAAAATCAGTTTTCTAATCACACACTACCACAAATTCCTTAGCAAGGCATTAAAGCCCCACCCAACATGGCTTTATCCAATCTACGTGGCTAGGCATCACTCTCTTCTCAGCCTCAACTTAAACGGACCCTCCCTCTCCATGTGTGGTTGACTTCTGCCCTTATCACTCCTCACACTGGACCTCCCTCAAAATTCCTCCTGCTCTTACCCTTTTTCCCCTCTTCTCTTGTTTAAGCCTTACCTGTCTTTCAAGGGTCATCTCCAAAGCCATTTCTGGTTCTTCCTCATACTCTATACAAACCTCTCTCTCCTGTAGATCATTGCTCAACTATGTTTTGCCTTGTCCAGTATCTTCTTATATATAGTTCCTAATTCCCTTCTCAGAATCTTGGCTCCTTAGCAATCTTGACTATCTTTGCATTCCCTCTGGTACCTAGAATAGTATCTAAACCAAACAAACTACTGCAATGAGGCTTTGCAAATATCTCAACACTCTGGTGTTCATCTTCTTTGGTATTTAGTATCAAATGTGTACCAACTAGCACGTCAGGGCTGGCTATCCTTAACCAGCTATCCTCCCTTTTCTGGCATCTACTTCTCTACCAACACCACTGAAAGTTCAGAAAACACAAAGGTATTTAAGAAATCGACAATGTAGAGATTATACTGGAATTTCTATACAAGTTTATGAGTTTACAAGACTCTTATTCCACAAAAAATATGGATTAAAAGTATGATATGGATTAATTCCATCCTCTAATGATGGTATACTTCACTCCTGTATCCTTTGGGGAGGGGGGTGCCCAAGACAGGGTTTCCATGGTCTATTATCTTTTTTTTTTATTTGAGACAACAGAGTACTATACACTCTACAAACTGTGTTTCTAAGATCCCCATTTCAAATATTAAGGAAATTAAAGCAATATCACTGGGTATATTCCAAATCATTCATGAAAACTTCGGCTACATTCCCAGAAGCCTCCACCCAGTCTACTTCATGTCCTCACCTCCTTTTGTAAATGCCTCCAACAGTGTAACACTATCCAGTTATAGTACGGTCATTTATTTTAGTGTTTCGGTTAAGTGGAACAGAGCCTACTTCAAAGAACAAATAGACTAGCCCTGGCCAGTTTGGTTCAGCGGTTAGAGCATCGACCTGCGGTCCTGATAGACCTGGGTTCGGTTCCCGATAAGGGCATATACCTCGGTTACAGTTTGTCCCCGGCCCCAGTTGGTCGTGCGGGTGGCAGCCACTCGATGTGTCCCTTTCACATCGATGTTTCTCTCTCTCTATTCCTCTCTCTCCCTCCCACTCTACCTGAACAAAAAATGGAAAAAAATGTCTTCAGGTGAGGATAAAAAAAAAAAAAAAAAAGAACAAATAGACTAAAGGTAATAACATAACTCAAAAAACTTAAATATAAAAGAGGCGATGCAAATGGTAGTCTTCACACTGAAAGTTGGCATAAACTCCCAGATTCCAGTTCTGGAAGGCAGACCTTTATAAGGAATTTTCCTACTGAACCCTGGTTTCACTCTCAGCTCTATCATCTAAATGAGGCTTGCTATGGAGGCTCTATTTACTTTCATTCTACACACACACACACACACACTCTCACCATCCTACACATTTGACAAACTTAGGACTGTTAGGTGGTTTGAGAGAAGAGCAATAACAGAAGAAAGTGAGGTCCTCTGTTTAATAATCTGGCTGATGCCTGGAGAAACATATATAGAAAAACATCGATGCAGAGGTCTCTAAGTCATCGTGGGATAAAATTCAATGTGTGGGGCTGCTGAGGAACTTGAGAAGACTCACTACCTTAGAGGGGCCCCCATAAGCTATCAGTGAGGTTCCGAGCCTTATTCCTAGCAGTGCCCCTTGAGTCTCCCTCTGGTCAAATACCAGCTTCGCACTACCTCTCCTAAGGTCACAGAGAAGAAATCTGAAACTTTGCTCAGAGCAAAAGGAAAATGAAAGCTTTAGTAATAATCCTTTTTTGTTTCCAAGTCAATGGTCAAGTCAAGTCATCACATAAATGGAACATAACATGCCTTGTTAGTGTAGGTACCACAAGGGAAGCGTTTGGTATGAACATTCCATTGAGAGGGCTACTGACACAGGCAGTTGTGGCAAAGGGGGTGGGATTTATTATATAACTAGTATACGGTCATATTTACTCTCACAAGCTGCCTGCCCTTGACCCTGAGTAGGAATTACAAGGACCCTTTTACAAACTTCTTTGGTAATTGTTCATCTCAGCAAACCTCTGAAGGTCTGGTGAGCAAAAGAGGTCAGATCTAAATTTAATTGAGTTTTTATTGTCTACAAAGATAGACCAACAAACAACTCCTCCCATCAAGTGGTGTTCCTCCCCCTG